TATTATTAATTATCATTAATTTTGATGACAAACCCACTATTTTTGAGATTTTTTCCACTTTCCTTTTCGAAGTAAAAAAAATTTAGACAAAAATTAAAGTAAGAACATTTTAATGGTGAATTTTGGGATCAGACATAGACCTCCATTTTATGCATGATTCAATTCCTCTTCTATATTCCATGGTGTTAATACTATGCAGCTGATCATATTAATTTATTCTTTAACTTTAAAGCTTACATTAAACATCGAGATCAAGCGTACAAGATTAACGATACACTACGGCTAACGTTGAATCGAAACCGATTGTGATCGCAATTTGTTGCGTCTTTCAGGGGACAGGCCGGCTATGGAAGGTAGTTGAACTGAGTATGCAGTGTTGTGGACAAATTCTTTAGGATTCATCCCTTTTTATCTTTACCCAGCTGGCAAAAAAAGTAGAATTTATAGCAAAGTTTTCGAAAATAAACGAGAATTTTTAAATTTTTGAATTTATTTCTATTTCTTCTTTAATAAATTAATCTACAAGGCTACAAAACCAAGGCTATACCCATAAGGGATGAGACAAATAATACTTTAAATCGTCAATCGTTCATAAACGATCGTTAACGATTGTATACGATACCAACGTTCACGATCAAACATAGTATGCCCATCTTCATGTGTAATGTACAATGTAAATACTGTGAAAGCTGTGACTTTCGATCGAAATTTAACCAATTAAACATTTAAATAAAAATTTAACTTTTCAACTTCGGAAGTATAGAAATTGTTAAATTTATTTATTTTAATATAACTTTATTTGAAAGAAATAACGATTATTTACAACTACTTTACAGGACGAAAGTTAGGTGAATTTTACAATTACCAAGAGTTCCCAAAGACCAAATTTGCTTACAAAATTGGCAAAATTGGCAAAATTGGCCTAGGAAACCCGTGGTTAAGTAACATTTTTAATTCCCGAAAAAGTAGTTGACCACAATTCTATCGTCTTTTTAGATAAATGCGCGAATATTTTACGAAAACTTCGCAGCTTGGGTGTTTTTTTATATTTAATTATTCCAAGGAATATGTTCGGGGAGTTAGGGAAATCATAGGTCAGTAATGTTAGTCAAATATATGAAAAAAATAACAAAAACATAATAAAATGTTTAAAGGATTCATATTGTATCTATATAAACTTCTATATGAAAAAGTTAGGCCACTAGATTTTGTAATCTACTGGGTTTCCCAATAAACAGAGGAAGTGATTTTTGAAAAAGATTTTTGATGATGTCTACTAATAGAGAGTATTCTCCGTAAATTGTTTCGTTTCCTAGATGTTGCATTTTTTCTAAATGTTCTGATATGTTTTGCATAACGAATTCAACTTAGTAAATTTGATGAAATTCCTTCTTAAATACGGGATTCAATGAAAATTTTTGATTTCCATGATTATTGGGACACTCGAGACTTTAAATGCAGACATATTTGTGTCTGTTACGAAGAAAGCAGAATTCTGGATATTTAAGGAATTTAGAATACTTATCATTAATCTAAAAAGCAGCTCATGCCACAACGTTCAATATAACTTATGTAAATATGACAAAGTATATAATTTCAAATAAGGTTTTCTTCTTACATAACCTTTACATAACAGTACTATCTAGATTCAAGAAAAAGTTAGAATTATAGTATAGTGAGGATCAGAAACCTGTCCAATAGGAAATCAAAAAATCTAATATACTCTATTGTAACAAACGCAACTATTTACAGTGCACATTGCCGTGTCTCATGTTCATTGAACTATTTAGCGTCAAAATTTGAGTCTAAAAGTATTCTTCCATTATTTTATTTGATGGCTCTCATTGTAAACTAATTTATTCTGGTTTAGAATTCCTTTCATAATTTCCTGGTCAAAACTTCCTTTAATTTACAATTTTAAACCAAATTTCTTTTTGTGAAGTAAAAAAAAACTTTAATTCTAGTATTGTATATTTATTTCTTTTCCAAAAATACATATAATGGCGAAATTAACAAAAAGTCAAGAACGAAGAACAAAGAAATCTCTTGAATTTGGTCGAAAATTATTATTAGTAAACATAACACAATAATACTTTTGGCACGGTTAAGTATCTTTTGTTCAAAAAGACCTGGGAACTAAGTAAGTCTTTTTTAACTTATTGCTTGAAAAACATACATATATAAACATTTAGAAGGGATCCAACTTGATTTTTTTTAAAATCAAAATTTTGTTTTTAACATCCCTCGAGTCATTTAAAAAAATGAGCAGAAATGCATATGGAAAATATGATTAAACGTAAATTTCAACAAATCTAAAGAATGGTATTCTTTTCTGTCATATTAATAAAACGCAATAAACAATCTATTTGTATCCGTAATAACAGGGTAACTAGATGGGTAAATAATTGAGGACAGATTGATTGATCGATTGGGATATCAAAATTTATGACAGGTGGATTTGTTTGAGGACTGATTGATTCATAGATTAATTAAGGAAAAACTTCAGAACGGATTGATTGATCGAGTAGAGGAAAGGTTCGAGGACTAATCGATTGATCGATTGCTTATGGACCAATATGTCTTAAGGATGATATTCACACGCTCCTCTCCCCGTGTCCTGGGTGGTTGGTAAGGCAGGAACTAGAATAAAAAAAAATAAAAAGATAAATAAAAAATGTTACGATAAAAATGCTAACACATAGTCTTAGTATACATAATAAATACTAGCTCAAGTGCCTGTGTAATTCAAAAAAATGTCGAATTTTGGAGAAAAAAATTTATAAAAAATTCCAGCCCATTCGGCACAGCCGTTTGACCAGATATACCTAGCATATATATCAAGTATGAATTATATATCCATATATAATATATGTATACATATACATATATATATATATAAATATATATGTACACATGAGCGAAGAGCTATATTATATAGATAAAAAACCGTCCATATAACTACAGGGTGTCCCACGCAACATGACAGTTAGTGAATAATTTAAAATGTCTTCTTCCATAATTACTTAAGTTGTTTAATACCAAAAATAATAGTATAAGAATATTTAATAGTCGTCATATTATTGTAATATTGATTTCAAAGTAAAATTTATTTTAGTAAAACATTTTATTGAACGTAATATAATGCAAAAAGGCTTTAGAATCTATTACAGTATAGGGAAGAAGACAGACCAAATTATTTACCAATTGTCATGTTTCGTGGGACACCCTGCAGCTACAACGGGAACCAGAAAACAATGGAATAGGCAGACAAAATTAGAGCAATACTTAAATGCATTTGATGTTGATAAATAAAAAATTTTTACTAGACACTTAAGTGAAATTGGTCCGGTTTACACTGCTGTGTTTCATGCTTTTTAGACTGTTTAAAAGCCCAAAAGTCGTCTTCATATTTCATGGTTATCACTGTAATAAAATATATTGCAAAAGAGAAGGTTTATTATTTCTGTTAAAAGAATTCCGTTTAATCGTAAAAAAAATTTATTGGCATTGGTGGCAAAAAGAGTTCATTAAAATGATAATTTTGTTTTTTAAATGCATGCTTAAAAACTAACATCAACACTCAATAGTTTTCTAAAGTCACGATACATTATTTATACTTTCTTGTTAAGATTGTCCTCAATGAAAATGCAGTTAAATTCAGAAAAGAGAATGCTTGTCGTTATTGCTTAAGCTACTACAGGGTGTCCCACGAAACATGATAGTGAAAATAAAGAGCTTGAATATCGCATTTATTCCTACTAATAATATGCGGTTTTTATTGGTCAACCTACTTTTACATATATGATTCTTATAACATTGATTACAAAACTCCACTCTTCATAGCATTTCCGAAATGTAGTCTGCCTTGTTAGTGCTTTCAATATTATCGGAAACTATGAGAATTTTGGTCCGATTTCACTTAATTAAATAAAATCCAAGTTTTCGAATTCTGAACGGAATTCTTCATATCACCGGTAACTTGGAAAGCACACAACTGGCCGGCCACATTTAGAAAATGCCTGGACCGGGTTATGTTGTCTTTTTTTTATAATTTTAGAATAATGCTGCTAATATTAATTTGACGAATGACTAGCTGCCACGAATTATTACAAAAGTCAAAGACGATATTCAAGTCGTCCTTTAACTGTCATGTTTCGTGGGACACCCTGTAGTTTCTCTAGGGATGATTTGTAACAGTTTTGTGATTTATCTCTCGATATTTAAGGCTCGTTTTTTTCAATGATAAAATCCCCTGAGCTATATCGGAATAAAAAGAAAGAAGAAAGATGACAATCATTACTATTTAAAAAATTTAAGTAACGACAACCCACCTTTAAAACATGCAATTTATGATACTTACGTCGTGGTAAATGTATTGACATGCAGCGTACAGATCTGTACAGTGTACACTGTACGGTAAATGATTGTGTACATAAAGTACATTAAAAGGTCTGGAATCCCATCTCTGACCTGGGATATGTAAAATGAATGCGAATATTTGAAAAATTTTTTTTTTAAAATTTTGATTGTCTTGTTTAAAATTAAAATTAAAATTTTCCCGAAAAAAAAAATAAGAACACAATTCCAGTATTTTCAAATACATCAGTTTTCTGTTACAAACTAATTTTTTAAGAACATTTAGACGTGCTGTTCTAAAAATTAAATAGGTTGACAGGATTATCAGCGTAATTTCAAGTGACCTTTTGTGCAATGCCCGATTCACATTGTTACCCTTGAAACCTAGTTATCCGATCAATAGTGTGGAAGATATTGTCGTTTTTCTAGGTTTAAAAGTGTTTGACTCTGATCTAATAAATTGTAGTTTTCGAAATTATAAACATTTATATCTAATTCATACTTTATCAGACAATGCTTTTAAGGTACCGTTGTGAATTGGCAATAATCATCTTTGAATGCAGATTCACTTGAAATTACGCGTACAGTCCCATAAACCTAACCTAACCTTACAGGTCTAAAATCAATTTTAAAAAAAACGGAAATAGAAAAATAAACTAGAACTTTATTCTGATAATCTGATAATATAATAATATAATAATATATACAAACATCTACAAATAGTTAAACCTTAACCCAAACTGCAGGGTTAACAAATTTTTGATAGCTGAAAATTAAAAAATTGATAGGTCGTGTTTTTTAAAATTTTTACTTTGTTTTTCAGAGTACACTAGAGTAGTCTACTTAAAAACTACATTCAGAACGCACTATAGGTTTTACCCGCCCTGAAACTTAAGAGATGATATTGGCATGAAATAATGAAACCATGCATTGGACTTGAGTCATAGAATGAGAACCAGAACACTATGGAATAGAAAGACGACGTTAAAACAATACTTTTATGTATTTAATGTTATTTCAAAGCATAAAGTTTTACTAGTAACTTATTAAATTACTTATTAATATTATGAGGTCTGAGCTGAAAACTTTAGAATGGGATATCTTTAATCCCGATCGGCTTATTAATCAGGAGATTAAGAATAAGAGGGGAACAAGCATTGTTTAATCTGGAGATTAAGAAAAAGAGATCAAGCATTGATCTCAATATCCACCATTCTAAAATATTAGCTCTGTTTACACATCACAATTGTTGTATCTCATGTTCAGTAGTTTTTTTAGGAGTCCTCCAAACTTCGTTCATTTTCCTATTCCCGAGATTTCAGGTCCTCACTCATACAACTTTGTAAAATTCATGCTGAATAATTTTCATTGGAAAATGTTAATGTTAATTTTACAGAAAGTTCTTCAATTACTTAACGCAGAGACCCAAAAAAATTAAGCGTAAATCGACAAACTTTAGATTTAAAGAGTATTTGGAAAATGAATCTTAAATAGCAGAGACAGAAAAAAGAATCGCCTTTTCCGTTTTATTTGTATAAGCCATCGTTATGAAGACTTTGTCACCATGTTTTAAACACAAATTTTGTTAAATAACAAAATAAAGAAACACTTTTAGAGCATTTCAAAGATCCAAATTAATTGGTCAGTGCTTAGTGTTCCATTTTATCGGGAGTTTTAAAGTTCTACTGAATTCTTTTACAATATTAATTATGAAATCTTTCTTTCTTCCGGTTCAGTATAATTCTCAAACTTAATTATAACACATGAATGAACTGGACTTTTCTAGTGTTTAGTCATCACTTCAAATTTACATTGTGTACATTTGATTGAAATATGGATCTTACACACTCACAAGTTTACTTAATAAATTTTTAAAAAACAAATGCAAAATAATTTTAAGTTTTAATCAATTTCTTACTATTTTTATGTTTACATAAGTTCCGATATCACAATTTTTTTCATTTCTAAATGCTTTTTAACCCAAATGTATGTGTAAGCAACTGGATAAAATGCATAAGATATTTTTAAGACTTTAAATCAATATTTCTCTTTCAGATAAAAATAAGATAAGCATTGAAGAAAGTCTTGTGAATAAAGTGAAGAAAAGAGGTAAAATCGTATTTCCCCAACCTTCACTTATTAAGAATAATGTTAAAGCATTTTCATGATTGTTCATTGCTCAAAATTTGCAGCTGCGCTATCATCTAATTATTTATAGAATTTTGTTGAAATTAAAAAAATAAATATATTGAAAAAATAATGTTAATATTAATATTAATTTTTCATAATGGTTTTTTTAGTTGGTGCATTTAGCCATATTACTGAATATTATGAAAACCCGACTAAAACCAATGAAAAATGATCATAGGCGCGACTTCAGTCATGTGGTCATGTGGGGGGGGGGGGATATGAAGATTATTTAATAAATCATTTTACCAATCTCTTAGATTAAAATTCCCACTTCCTAATTATAACTTAAGTTGCGCCTTTGAAAAATGTGACATTTTTAAAAAATATTAGCCCACAACCAATGAAGAGGTGATGGGATAAGTGCATACAGTACACAGTGAACACACCGTACAATATGTACATTGAGTACACAACAACCTTGTCCAGTGTGCACTTTGAACTTTAACCAAGCCGTAACCGGTTAAAATCAGCAGCAAAGAGCCGTAATCCAGCACCTCTGAATAATAAAACACATTAAAGGGACTGTAAGCGTAATTTCAAAATGACCCCTCATGCAAAGATGGCAATGTCCGATTCACAACGGTACCCTTGAAACCTTTATCTGATCAATATTTTTCAAGGTTTAAAAGTGATAAATTTATATTTTTTTGCAACAGAAATGCGCATGTTACTTCTTTGAGAACTAGCAATTGAAAATAATCAGTTTTTAAAATAATAAATATTTATATCTTATTCATACTTGATTAGACACTCCAATGGTACCGATGACAATTGGACGAAGATATTTTTGCATGGAGAGTCACGTAAAAATTACACTTACAGTCCCTTGAGAGAGTTATTTACACACTTTAAAGATAGACCAAATTGTTTTCGTCTTCACGTTAGATAAAAATGAACTTTTTGACATACTTTCTAATATTCAATATTTGTCTCTAAAACTTTATCCTCCATTTCACAAATATCTGTGGAATTTCTATAAAAAGCAAAACATTAATTGTAATTGTGATATTTAATTTGCTACAATATAATTCTGAACGGTTAACTCGCAAACCTGAAATACCGATTTGTAAAAAATTTGAACATTAATCTACAAATTTGAACAGTAACCCAAAAATTTTGAACAGGAACTCATAAATGTTGAACAGGAATCAAAACAATTTGAGCAGGACCCCATATATTTTGAACAGGAACCAATAAGTTTTGTACAAGAGCCTATACATTATTAACAAGTGTCCATAAATTTTGAACAGGAATCTAAACATTTTGAACAGGAATCTATACATTTTGAACAAGAACCTATACATTTTGAACAGAAACCCATAACTTTTTAACAGGAGCCAATAAGAACCAAAAATTGAAATGAAAAGTGGCATATATAAATAGGGTAGCAATGTAAGTACATTTTACGTTGCTGTTTCACGAGTGAATGTGAACAGGAATTTCTTAATCCATCTAAATAGTGTATCATGTTAAAAATCAAAGCTTAACAATATATATATATTTATACAGAAAATAGATGATGCAAAAACGGCTAGGCTATAAATTACCTTGAAATAATCATGAACTTAAAATGTATTTGAAATAAATATTGATAGTTGTGTTTTTTTTAAGTACACATTATTTATGAACTCAAAACCACCACCTATCTTTGTAAAAATCCATGATTTATATTGAAATTTCAGACATTGTTAGATTGGTGTTAAGTACAAATATTGTCTGTACATATTAATAAAAGTCACCATTTTGGTAAAAAAAAACTCATGCTAAAATGTTAAGTGCTTTAATAATCCTGCCACCAAGTATGAATTAGGGAAAGAACAAGAGATTTAAAATCTCCAGTCCTTTATGCACTATGCAGGTTAATATTTACAAGGTTATCAGTTTAAAATCATTCAAGTGCTGTATTTTATAGGATGGATCAAAGAAAAACTGGCGGACTAAAGTTTTCTTCTTTATCTTTATAAAAATTTTACTTTAAAAGTTAATGACCTTGCGAATACAAACTGTAAAAAAAATGCGCCATTTTCCTATGCCGTGATTTCTGATTTGTGAAAGCCGCCAATTTTGTTGATCCACTCAAATATTTGTTATTGTGCTCTACGATACCTCATGGTTGATTTGCTGGCGTTCAAGTCCTTCTGAAGAAGTACTGGGGCAACCTCCATTACTCTGGAAAATAGAACAAAATAAAATTGGCAAAAAACTTTTTTAGATTTTGTAAGGGTCGTTTAAAATCAAGATATGTGTAAAAAAATAATACATAAAATCAAATAGAAAAAATGACTTTTATTGATTACTAAGTTGATAATTAAAAAAGAGCAGCAAACTAAAAATTAAAAAGTTTAAGTGACTCTGTATTCAAAAAATTCTACCTGCAATCTTTGAACCTTTATTAAAACATTTGCAATGATGAAAATATTTTTAGAAATTATCTAACGATGCTTTTAAAAAAGAAATAATGAGGATCTCTACTGCACATATCTAGGAAGACAACTGCATGGTTTCAAGAACAATCGTTTTAGGGTTCTGTATTGTTAATCAATGATGGAGGCTTTTCGAAGTAACAGTTAACTTCTGTTGAAAATCCCGTCAAATTTGTATTCAATAGTTAATTCTTTTTGATCAAATCTTAAACAATATTTAAAGGTGTATCAGTTACTTTACAGTCTTTTTTTCTCTTCTCATATTTTTTACAATTCACAATATACAAAAAAATACTAGAAAAATGACAATATCTTCCATATTATTGATCAAATGAAAGTTTCAAATGTACTGATGTGAATCAGGCATTGCCATCTTTGCATAGAGGGTCAAATGAATTCATTCTTTCAGTCCCATTATTTTAAAATGTCGAAGGGTTATTGAGAGTTTGGAGTATAAACCTGATAAATCTGATATTTACCTGATTAGAAGACCATCTATATAGTCCTCTAGGTCACCAACCTTCTTACTCTGCTCTTCCAACCTTCGCTCCATACTTACAACCAGCTCAACCAGTTCCTGACATACAATCATTATCATCATTATCATCATTATCATAATTATCATAATTATCATCATTATCATCATTATCATCATTATCATCATTATCATCATTATCATCATTATCATCATTATCATAATTATCATCATTATCATCATTATCATCATTATCATCATATCATCATATGATCATATGATCATATCATCATATCATATTATCATCATTATCATCATTATCATCATTATCATCATTATCATCATTATCATCATTATCATCATTATCATCATTATCATCATATCATCATATGATCATATGATCATATCATCATATCATCATCACCATCATTATTATCAGTATCATCATTATTATCATAAATATCATCATCATTATATCATCATCATCATTATCACACACCAAAATATCATTTGAAAATTATCAGAAATATAAGCAAAATCAATAATATCACCGATATTATATTTTTATCAATAATATCAACAGTATTAAAAAATATGTCAACGTCATGGCCAACGCCAACGCCAACGCCAACACCAACACCAACACCAACACCAACGCCAACGCCAACATTCTGGAGATCATGAGCGATCAACAACTTAAACGGTTTACCTGGTTTGATTTGCCACTGTACTTGGCAAGCATATCAGATGAAAGTTTGGAGTTCATGTTGGGAATAGGAGAGGTTTCTCTACCCAGCACTACACGGGTTCCATTAGGAGGTCCAAAAGATCCATCAGAATGGGTCCGAGAGTGCCTAAATTGATAATTTACATCAAAAACGAGCTAAGCATATTAAATATGTGAACTACTTTTATTATTGACACGTTTATATAAATTTAAAGATAAATAAAGATAACTATGGCAAAGTTAGTACAGGGTTAACCAAAAAGGATGAAACTTCAGACACTTTACGGAATTTATTTTGTCCTTAAATTCTTATATTTATAAATACCTACAGTTGTAGGCTAATTTCTTTGTGTCAAAGTTGCATCCTTTGTGGATAACCCTGTATTTATCTTTAAAAAAAGGTTATTTTATTAATTTGACCTGGAGGAGTTGGATTCGATTGAATTTCTTCTTCCACCATTTCCTGTCTTACCCTCGTCTGATTTCTCTTTGAAGCCTAGAAAATAAAAGAAAATTTATTAATTAATTCACAATTCTAGTATGTATATTATCACTGTTCAGTTAAAATTTTGATTTTAAATATTGATTTTACGTTTTCAGATTGAAAACTTGTCAAACATCATAATTAAGCTTGTCAGTTGTCAACCATTGGATGGAATTTTTTTTTTTTTTTTATGCTCTGCTCGTGGCACCATGAAGCATGAAAAATGAAAAGATAAGAAAAATTTCTTATTTTGAAATTGGCATTTGCTAATGATTGGATAAATGTGCAAATATGTTGCAATATTTTCCCGATATATCCGATTAAATATTTACTATTAACCACAACCTTCCCTTCTTTGTGCAATTTAAGCCTATAATAAATCTACTGCATGCAATTTTACTTAAATTGTGGGAAATCTTTAAGTTAGATAAAATTATTATTTAAAATTACTTATTTAATCTTAACACGTTTTACGGTTTTCACATTGAAAATAATTGAGGAGTGATAGATCCAAGAAATATATAGACCAGGAACCGCCTTATCTGATGAATCAAATCTGTGTACTGCAGTGGGAGGAGATCAAAACAAAGAATTAAGGGGCAACGCATCATTTTTGAGTGAAAGGGGCGCAAGGGGTGGAATAAGAATATATGCTATTGTATTTTCCATATTGACCAGAAAGCCAAAAATCATAAGTATTCGCTATAACTTGATATATTAACTTGTTTTTGTTGGACTGTAATATCACATCAGAGCTTTAATCCTTTCCCTTCAACTTCTGTTGGGGCACTACTGAGTTTGTTTACATTCCTCCCAAAGTGTGTACACAATTTGCGTATATCTTAGTTGGACGTTCCTGTTTATAGTTCCTTGGATAGATCTAAGGAGAGGAAATGTGCTTTGTTTACATTTAATTATGACATACAGTCGTCGCCGTATATATCAATACAGTTGAGACGACTTTCGATTTCAATTTTGATTTCTACCAAGCTTGCGGACAGCAGAGACATATAACCATGTAAACAAAGAGAATTTGTCAATTAACAGTTTATCTTGGTTTTCTTGTAAACTTGTAATTTGAAAAATGTTTGTTAGGGATCAACGCATGATTAGTAAAAAGTCGTCTTTATTGTATTGTTATAATCGCCGATCACTGTATAAAGAGAGATCTAACTATATTTTTAACAATGCAACCGTGACCGTACAGGCCCAAAAGAAATGTTAAGCTTTACTATTGTTTACAATAAAATTAGTTCCTGATCTAATACGTCATAGTAAAATGTAGACATCCCTCTCCTTGTTTATATTCAATGCTCAGGATCCGGATCAGTTTGATCAATAAGATTTTGGCTTCCTGGATCCGGATTCAAGGGGCTAAATATCAAATATCCGGATACGGTTTTGGATCCATTTTTTTCAGGGCGGACCCATGATTCGGATCTACATCAAATTAAATTGATCCTAAGCATTGATTCTATCAATTCTTAATAATAAATATCATTGGATTTGATTTATTACAAATTATCTTTTATTCTCACCTTTTCCTTTTCCAATTTTACTCAGGTCAAAAAGACTGCCTGGAGATATAAATATAGTTTGTTAGTGCATGCTTTGGTCAGATTGAAATTAGGTAACCGTATCTATTTTAGGGTCTAATTAAGTTACCCTATCTATTTCAGGATGTAATTAGGTAACCGTATCTATTTCAGGGTGTAATAAGGTAACCGTATTTATGTCATGGTGTAATTTGGTAACTGTATTTATGTCAGGGTGTTATTAGGTAACCGTATCTATGTCATGGTGTAATAAGGTAACTGTATATATGTCAGGGTGTAATTAGGTAACTGTATTTATGTCAGGGTGTTATTTGGTAACCGTATCTATGTCAGGGTGTAATCAGGTAACTGTATCTATGTCAGGGTGTTATTAGGTAACCGTATCTATGTCAGGGTCTAATTAGGTATATGTATCTATTTCAGGGTGTAATAAGGTAACTGTATCTATGTCAAGGTGTAATTAGGTAAGTGTATCTATGGCAGGGTGTAATTAGGTAACCGTATCTATGTCAGGGTGTAATTAGGTAACTGGACTTATGTCAGGGTTTAATTAGTTAACCGTATCTATGTCAGGGTGTAATTAGGTAACTGTATCTATGTCAGGGTTTAATTAGGTAACCGTATCTATGTCAGGGTGTAATTAGGTAACCGTATCTATGTCAGGGTGCAATTGAGTAACCGTATCTATGTCACGGTGCAATTAAGTAACCGTATCTTTGTCAGGATGTAATTAAGTAACTGTATCTATGTCAGGATATAATTAGGTAACCGTATCTATGTCAAGGTGTAATTGAGTAACCGTATCTATGTCAGGATGTAATTAGGTAACTGTATCTATGTCAGGGTGTAATTAAGTAACTATATCTATGTCAGGGTGTAATTAGGTAACTGTATCTGTGTCAGGGTGTAATTAGGTAACCGTATCTATGTCAGGGTGTAATTAGGTAACTGTATCTATGTCAGGATATAATTAGGTAACCGTATCTATGTCAGGGTGTAATTAAGTAAACGTATCTATGTCAGGATGTAATTAGGTAACTGTATCTATGTCAGGGTGTAATTAGGTTACCATTTCTATGTCAGGGTGTAATTATGTAACAGTATCTTTGTGAGGATGTAATTAGGTAACCGTATCTATTTCAGGGTGTAATTAAGTAACCGCATCTATGCCAGGGTGTAATTAGGCAACCGTATCTATGTCAGGGTGTAATTAAGTAACCGTATCTATGCCAGGGTGTAATTAAGTAGCAACCGTATCTATGTCAGGGTGTAATTAAGTAACCGTATCTATGCCAGGGTGTAATTAAGTAACCGCATCTACGCCTGGGTGTAATTAGGTAACCGTATCTATGTCAGGGTGTAATTAAGTAACCGTATCTATGCCAGGGTGTAATTAAGTAACCGTATCTATGCCAGGGTGTAATTAAGTAGCCGTATCTATGTCAGGGTGTAATTAAGTAACCGTATCTATGCCAGGGTGTAATTAAGTAACGGTACCTATGCCAGGGTGTAATTAAGTAACCGTATCTATGTCAGGGTGTAATTAAGGAACCGTATCTATGCCAGGGTGTAATTAGGTAACTGTATCTATGTCAGGGTGTAATTAAGTAACCGTATCTATGCCAGGGTGTAATTAAGTAACGGTATCTATGCCAGGGTGTAATTAGGTAACCGTATCTATGTCAGGGTGTAATTAAGTAACCGTATCTATGCCAGGGTGTAATTAGGTAACTGTATCTATGCCAGGGTGTAATTATGTAACCGTATCTATGTAGAACTACATCAGTTAAAGGAACATGCCCGATCCACAACGGTGTTCTTTAAACCTTTGTCAGATAAATAATGTGGAAGATTTTGTCGTTTTTCTGACTTGGATAAGTGTTTGATTTCGTCATGACACTTTATTGTGGAACTCTAAAAGAAAGAATAAAATTTTTAAAAGAAAATGATGAACATCTCACCCATTTCCCCATTTTTTCTGCAATAGAAATCTGCTCGTCACAATTTTGTTTATTTTTAGCGAAAATTGAAAATTTTAGTTTCAAAGAGTAACCAGGGACGAATTATTCATTATTAATCAAACCAAGCTTAAAAGGAACTGTTGTGAATTGCATATGCTACTCTGTAAATGGATGTTATGCCAAAAGTCCTTTAACCAATCTTATGAAATATATCAGTACAGTAATAGCCAAAAAACAGCGGAATAATTGTCGTCTTTGCAGTTTCTTTTGTTTAAAAGACCACTTAACAAACATTATGTATCTGATACTATCTGTAGACTGTAACTGTTTAGTATCAAAACTAACATGTCCAAGACGCGTTTTCAGAATTACAACATTTTAGCGGTAATTTTAGTTTAAAGAAAATCCAACGAAAAAAATTATTCCACTGTTACGTTACATAGACCCTGTGCCATGTATTCCACTGTCACGTTACATAGGCCCTGTGCCATGTATTCCACTGTTACGTTACATAGACCCTGTGCAATGTATTCCATTGTCACGTTTCATAAATAGACCCTGTGCCATGTATTCCACTGTCACGTTACATAGACCCTGTGCCATGTTTTCCACTGTCACGTTAATAAGACCCTGTGCCATGTATTCCACTGTTACGTTGCATAGACCCTGTGCCATGTATTCCACTGTCACGTTACATAGACCCTGTGCCATGTATTCCACTGTCACGTTACATAGACCCTGTGCCATGTATTCCACGGTCACGTTACATAAATAGACCCTGTGCCATGTATTTGTGCTACCATTCTAATATTGGAATACCATAGTGTGTAAATGCAATGTATTAATCAGTAGATATGTAGTAGTATCCTACTTTATCAAACAGTACATATATCGAAGAAATAAATACTTTCAATGATGGAACAACTACAGCTCTTATCAATAAAAAAGGGGGGGGGGGCTTAAAAGCAAGATTGAAGGTGGTTAAGATGGGGGGATAGAGGGGTTATGTTAAAATACCAAATATTTCTGTATAACTGTTCTGGGACATGCGTGCTGTGGTTGGAAAAAGATATTTTATTGGTTAAAACATTCCAGACATGCATTTATCAATCAATTAATCAATTCAAAACATAATATTGGTTATACATGTTAAGATTAGTAATTACAGATTATTGTTAACATAATTACTTCCTTAAATAACCCAGCCCCCCCCCCCCCCGTATCTAAGCTTAGAAGAATAACTCTCTGAAAACATATAATCCTTTACTAGAATAATTTGTTAATAGTTTAAATACGGTATAATTAGATTCTAAATTTTAGAGCCCATACTACTTAAACCGACTGTAAGCATAATTTCAGGTGACCCTCCATGCAAAGACGTCAATGTGTTTATTGTGATAAATTCAAAACGTCTCTTTTGTTAGAACCCACAATGGAAAATATAAAGTTTTTTAAATTCTAATTAATTAATATTTGATAAGACGAAGCAGCTTTTTAGGGTATCGTTGTGAATCAGGCATCGCCATCTTCGCATGGAGGGTCACTTAAATTTACCCTTACAGTCCCTTTAAATGTGAATGTTAAACTTACTGTAACTGTTCTTAAGTTTGAGCCCCAGTGTTTTCTTCTTGTTCTCCTGTTCCTTGGCAACAGAAGCTATATCCAGTGTACTCACAGACACTCCGGATCTAACAAAAAACAAGTATATAAATCCAAACTTTACTGATTTTCATTTTTTGAATCGCTGAATCAAAGATTCAGTAGGATTTGAAACGTAGAATTAGGATTTGAACCGGCAATAAGAAGTTCAGCTACCTTTCCACTTTAATGATTTTCAGCAAAAGAGCCTTAGAGCCCACAAAGTTTTTTTCATGAAAATTATCGTTAGAATAAGAGATGTAATGATTTTTTCAAATATCTGCTTTCATACTCTTCTTGTAATAGTTCTTTGTATGTTGGAAGTATATGTTAGACCTAAATTATTTTTTGTTTTCTAACCATTATTTTTTATAATTTTTATATAATCAAATATTATGAAGAATAGTTAATTTATAATGATCTTTTTCTCCTTTCTCCACCTGCAGACTCCACCTGCACCTAACCTAACCTGCAACTAACCTCACCTAACATAACTTAATATGTTACCAAAAAAATAAAGTTTTACCTGCTATTTCTGAAACCCCAACCATTCTCCGCCTTGTTGTCAGCTACAGGACTTGAGGGGGATTCAGGACTAGGAGATGATTCTAGTTCATCTTGAACAGGAATTATCTTTTTCTTCTCATGTGGAACTTTAAATGTAGCCTAAATATAAATAAGATTTAATCTTAATCCTAGCTGGTTTCATATCTAAATACAAACTAGCTTCAATATCAATTATATTTATTATAAGGTTGTCATGAAACTGTAGGTTGACAAAAATATTGATTTTAAAAAATAGGCCACCTTGTGGTTTCCAAGTATCCTCTATATACCTGGGAATAGGATGACATGCTACCCTGTGGTTTCCAAGTATCCTCTATATACCTGGGAATAGGATGGGAGGCTACCCTGTGGTTTCCAAGTATCCTCTATATACCTGGGAATAGGATGGGAGGCTACCCTGTGGCTTTCAAGTATCCTCTATATACCTGGGAATAGGATGGGAGGCTACCCTGTGGTTTCCAAGTATCCTCTATATACCTGGGAATAGGATGGGAGGCTACCCTGTGGTTTCCAAGTATCCTCTATATACCTGGGAATAGGATGGGAGGCTACCCTGTGGTTTCCAAGTATCCTCTATATACCTGGGAATATGATGGGAGGCTACCCTGTGGTTTTCAAGTATCCTCTATATACCTGGGAATAGGATGGGAGGCTACCCTGTGGTTTCCAAGTATCCTCTATATACCTGGGAATAGGATGGGAGACTACCCTGTGGTTTCCAAGTATCCTCTATATACCTGGGAATAGGATGGGAGGCTACCCTGTGGTTTCCAAGTATCCTCTATATACCTGGGAATAGGATGGGAGGCTACCCTGTGGTTTCCAAGTATCCTCTAATGTAGTTTGACTGTTAAGTGATGGGTTTCCTTGACTGGCAGCAGATGTAGCTCCCTCTCTACTCCGTCCTGACTGCTGACTGACTATGGACAAAGTATCCATCTGGGAATCTAAAAATTAAAAATCTTTTAATTATCAATTTTTTTTGTGGTCACAAAATATGTCACCAGTATTTATTAGGTTGGTCCAAACCATGAATGGCAAAAAAAACTATCTTGGCCAACGAAATTCCAATACAAAGATGACGATAAGAACACATAAGTATTCCAACATATTTTAATCTGTATGTGATCACTCTAAAAAATTAAGTACCTTAGTTTTCTGATCATGGTGAAATACTTAAGTAAAAAAAACTTGAATGAAGAGAGAATCTCATTTGAAATACTATGATCATATATTAATGAATTTTGTTTTTATTTTTGCAAGTTTTCTACAATTACAAAAATGTACAATTATGAACATAAACTTATTCACAGGCCTGCACAGGGAGCACAGGCAGAGCAAGGACACAAATTAATACATTTCAAAAACCGTGCTGTTTTTGAGTATATGGTTTAAAAGACGAAAAATGTATGTACATATATTTATTTATCTTAAAATTGCTGGAATTGTTCTGGTTCCCAGTAAATTCACACTGCACCCATCATCAGTACTTCCCCTGAACCACAGTTTGCTGTTCCTAATCCACCTATGACATTATTGAACCCTGGATGTTATCGGCAGGGTGTATGGATTCCAGAAACCTCAGTTAGCCGTTTCCCTAGGTTGACATCCCCCCATCCTTCCATCCCTTGTTTATTCCTTTGCAAGAACTAACATGGCAATTTCAATTCAAGAGCAAGGTCTGGCACAAATAATTTATATACATATTATACAGAACCATCACCACAAAACTTCTTATATTTACATGTTTACAAAGTTAGCTAAAACTGATCAAAATCAAAACAAGGAGGTTAAGCTTGACCAAGCTGACCCATCTGCTACCTTGTGGATACAATCCAAACTTTCGTACTCTTCTTCCATCCCTTTTCTTCATGAATGGCAAGGTGTGAACCTAATTACCAAGTTTGTCATGCAAGACCAATTTACTTTTAACATCTTAATAAAATTATCAAATATACTTTAAGGGACTGTAAGCATAATTTTAAGTGACTTATCATGCAAAGATGGCTATGCCCGATTCACGATGGTACCAATGAAAGCTTTGCCTGATCAAGTATGACTTAGATATCAATGTTTATAATTTAGAAAATTGGTCAATTTTTATTTTGATTTCTCTACAAAAGTGATTTGTACATTTCTACTCCGAGAAAACATATAGAATTATTAGAATTTAACACATTTAAACCTAGAAAAACGACAATATTTTCCCCATTATTGATCAGATAAAGGTTTTCAAGTGTACCCTTGCAAATAGCACATTGCCATCTGTGCATGAAGAACACTTGAAATAATTACGCTTACAGTCCTTTTAATGGCCTGAACCTCTGATGGAAATGGCTTCATATCTTCAGTTGGAGATTCAGAATTTGAGAAACTCTGGGCGTTGTGACAACACATTAAGGAGAATTTTAGATAAATGTTGGGTTCATTGAAAGGGTTAATTTGATAACACTATGAGATAATAGCCCCTGATTACTCTTTTTAAAACCATAATTTAATGGTTAAAATTGTGTGGCCGAAGTTTTGACTGTGCAAGTAATAAAATTTAAATTAAAGTTAGAGGTATGCATTGCAGAGACTAAGGAAGTATTGAAGCGTGAACCACAGATAAATGAATTTGAAGGGACGGTGAGAACTAAGATTTTGTTGTTACACGCCTCAGATGATTTGAACTCCAACTTAGGACTGTTCATCTCAACTGCAGATTGTTTAGTTAGCTTCATAGTTTCTTTCTTTTCAGCAATCTCCAGTTGATGTTTGGCAAAATCATGATTTTCTTTCAGATTTCTATTCATGATATGTTTCAGAAAACTATCATCTTCTCTTCCAGAACTTACTGTACTTTTTAATTGAATTGCGTATTGTGGAGCCTAAAAAACTATTCAAAATAGCATGACCCAATTGGGTCAAAATGGATCCAGATTTTTAAAACAAAACTTTTCAACAAAAAAACCAGAATTATGTCAGTATTAAAAACAATTTATTGAGACTTTTAATATCTGACAAAATCTTTAAAGGTAATCTTAATTTAACTATCTAAAGTCAAAGAAATGGTCAGGTCTAAAAAGTTCTTGGACTGCGCCTAAGTAGTACTGGCTTTACAATTAACAGTCAGATCTTTGTTTGAGTAATAAGTTTTGTTTTGCTAAAGTTCAAATAAAAAACGGGTTGATTATTTACTACTAAAGGGATCTAAATAAATTAATGTATAGGATTCAAATATTTCCTAAGTTTCCAAGTGACTTAACTTCCATAACAGATTCCCCTGAGGACATTTTTTTCTGCCTTTCTTCAAACATTTCAGCTGATTGCTACCAGGTTAAACCAGGGTAAAAACATCAAAAAGATATAATTTAAAAAGAATATTTTTGTAATATTTTAGTATTTTTATGACGAAAATATTAACAAAAAATAATAATAAAAAAAAATTAATTTCAACTTGTTCAAAAATCATTTTTTAATCTACAGGGTGTCCCACATCAAATTAGACCGCGTCAATGGGTCTAAATTACGATTTGGGGGACAAATCAGAAAATTTAAGAAGAATAAATCATTTTGAAAAATTTAATAAGGCTAATAGAATTTTCTTTTTGCAGAAAGTGCTAGATTTTTCTAGTATTATGTGCGTATTTTGGCGTTAAAGATTGGAGATAATCTAATATGATATGGGACGCTCTGTAAAAAAAGCTTGGCCTAAGATGGAATTTAAAGAATTTGAGCCGCGGTTTAAATCCGCCAAAACCCGGTTTAAATTAAGCGCCGGCTTAAATCTTGAAACATTTGATACAATTTTAAGTGGAACCAACCATATTTAAACCGCGGCTTAAATTTAAACCGCCGCTCAAATTCTTTAAATTCGGCCACTGGTTACATTGTGGCTATTTTTTTGGGGGGAAAAACTGACCTTTCAATGGAAAATCTGAAATTATGAGAAAAAAAGTTTTACGTTTTTATCAAGGTTTCCTGGCGAGTCCAGGTCAGATCATTTGATATTTTCCCTCTCACAGCCTTATCCTTGCTGCTCAGTTTTGGTAAACTCTTTACATAGAACAGTCGTGAGTTTGGGAAATAAGTTGTAGGTATCAGGCTATTTACTCAGGTCATTGTCAAAAATATAAACAAAGAAAATGTATGCTTTGAGGGAAATCAAAAAATATTTAAATTTGCAGTCATAAATTTATCGAATCAGGTGACTTTATACGTTTTTTGGAAAATTTTAAATGCTCGAAAAAGACGGACATTATTTTAGATTTAGCAGGACTAGGGCTATTTCTTCAATTAAATTTGTAAAATTAGATTGTCTAGTTTACTGATTAATTGTAAATTAATTCCGGGTCTTTCTGAATAAGACTGTACTCGGCAGAAATAGATTTTTTTAAACTTTCAAATCAAATCAGACGTTTAGTTAGGTCCTAATATCCATAAATATTACTTTGCAGACTTTCCTTATGGTAGTTTTCTGCATTTTCCAGACTTGCTCCTTTAAGATCTAGATTGCTTTTGGATAAACTAAGCTTGAACAGTCTAGACGTCTTTCTTTTCGGAGTTTGAGGGGAAATGCTGGAAGGGCTGTGCATATACTCTGCAGCAGTGTTTTCTCCATCTTGACCCTCTGTTCTTGTTTCAGGCATGTCCTTTGAATGTTCTATAGTTGATTGCTTGGGTTGATCTGGATTAACTGATCTCTTAAAGATGGAATCTTCATGGAAGTTCTTTGAACCGAATCCACCTATGTTTGGCATGCTCTTTTTGCTAAATTGTGACTGCATGGTGGTATCCTCCTCTCTGTCTAATCTGATCTCCGGCATGCTCTTTTTACTCCACTTGAATGGCGACCTCAATACTGTATCCTCCTCTTTATCCAATCTTATCTCTGGCATGCTTTTCTTACTCAGCTTATTTAAAGCCAAAGTATGTAAATCTGTTTTCAATAATATGGATTCATCTTGACAATTTCTCTTGTCTGATCCTTCTTTTCCTTCTTTATCTAGCGTAAAATCACTTTTCTTATCTGTGGCTGTATCGAGTTCATTTTCAGAACCTTCGCCAAAGGGTATTGTGGATCCTGATATCACAAATGAATTCTTCTTTTCCTGCAGAAGTGAAAGTTTCATTTCTTTTCTGTCACAGACAATGTCACCATCTTCGAAGGTTTCCAATGCTTCAAGTTTCTGACTTGCCTTCATTTCTGATTTTAATTTCCAAATTTCAGTGTTTGGGGTCAGGTCTAGCGTCAACTTGGATTTGGCTAATTTCTTGTTAAAGGATGGATCAGCTATTGTTGCATTGGGCTCCGAGTAGATCTCTTCTTTGATAGTATATTGCTTAGACGGTATTTTAATAGGACCGTTGGCATCAGTTTTAGCAATAGCTGATCCAAAATAAACTAATTTTAGCAAAAACATGCAATATCTAATATTTCACAAAATATCTATCATTATTTTTAACATGATGAACATATTATTAGAAGCTTTAATCAAAAATTTTAATTTTTCTTCAGTCATTAAAAGAATTCAATTTATTTTGCTTACCTTTCTTTCCAAAAAGTTTTGATTCCCATTCGTCTTTTTCTTTAGGTTTTGTGACCAACGAATTCCTGAAAACGAAAATGTCAAAATTCTCCTCAGCTAGCTATAGCAACTATATTTTGTTATTCCCTTGCCCTTCCCTTACGAATTATCATCGTTGTAAAAATGTAGTCAAGCCCATTGCTAATTAACAATTTACATACTATCTTAATATTAAAGAACAAGCGTGACACCATGACAAGAGTTGTAATTTTTATAAAAATTATTTCTCCCTATTTACGAATGACTTTGAAGAATTTGAATCCAGAATTTTTTGATGAAACAATTTTTCTCATAGATTTTTTACATTTTACAAATTTTAAAATGTTTATGGAAAAAATGATTTTGTCTGGGACATGAATTACGGAGTTTTTAAAAAGTCTGTAAGACTGTAATTAAATAATCATATAATATGTGTTTTAGGTGTTCTAAAATTACTTCATGAGCTTTGTTGCAAAAAAGATGTACTCTGAAGCTAGAACTTTGTGTTCCGAATCTTGGGATTAAGCATTGATCTACATCTCTGCAAATCTGGGGAATTTAATACATTTTTGATATCCCATGGTGTAAGCAATCATTGATCCTAAAATTTATAAGTTCCCACAATAGATATCGAGATCAAACTTTTAAAATTTAAGAATACTCTACCAAAAAGTTCTGATCTCTTGAACCCATTTATATACTGGTTCACCTTCATTTATATATTTTCCATCTGATTGGAAATGCTTAAAACTCGCATCCCCTCAATATCCAACTTACAGTTTCTTATTTTTCAAAACTTGTGATTCGATGGAATAAGCACTTAAAATATCGGATTTAGACAATGAATCCATCACTTGTGTATAAGTTCCTGCATCTTATCAACTTAAGAGGTGCCAAGTTTGCCAGAGATAGAAATAATCTGGATATCCACTTTAGCAACTTTTAAATTTCAGGATAGTTTTAGTAATTTTAGTCATAGTTTCGTAACTCCGAGGTGAATCAGTTTAATCATTTGAAAAATAAAAGATACGGAAAACTTCTTGATCTCTGGATTCTACCCGGAAAAGTTTTGATGTTTGCTGGGTAAAAATAAAACTAATGATTTCTTATCTTTTCCTCTATTCTATTTAGAGAGCAACCTCTGAGCTAAATATCTATCTTCCAACCCATAGTTTATTAGGAACATTTTTTGATGATTTATAAGCTTAAAATTATCAGAAAACTTATGTGAAGGAGAAATTAGCCGACCGTTTGCAACCTAACATTAAAAACAATAAAAATAAAAACTGAGTGGCGCAAAGATCCCTGAATATTAACCTGTTGTTTTGTCTAAAGGCAGGAGGAGTATCCACATTGAAAGCTTCCAAAGATCCGCTGAAATAAAATAAGTTAGAATAACTTGACATAAATATTTTCTACCTCTGTAGATTCCTTCATTATCAGTCCATTGACGGGTTACTCCTTAGTCCTTAGTCCTTATGCATATACCTCCCAGTTCTATTTATGATTAAGAATCAGATATAACCAGATTCCGAATTTAATAAATTTGAGCCGTGTCTCATATCCGCCAGCCAAAAATCGGTTTCAATTGAGCACTGGCTTAAATCTTAAAGCATTGAATACAATTTTAAGTGGAACCAACCATATTTGAGCCGCGTCTCAAATTTAAGCTGCGGCATAAGTTCTTTAAATTCGGCATCTGGAAAGAAGAAAACTTCTTTCAATCGAAAGGATACAGTACCTAAAATTATCAACCTAATTTTGTGTTTAAAACACAGAAAAAAATAGGACTAGACGTAAAATTAATATTTGATTTTAGAAAATAAAACTAAAAATAAATCTGAATTTTTAAACTTGTCATAAAAAATCATCTGATATTAGGTATGTTCGCACGGACCGGCAAACATTTATTATTGGGGGTTTCACTGAATTTGGGAAAATAAACAATTCTTAAGGTAAAATAAGATGAATTTTTGGTAAAAAAATATCTAATAAAGTGAACAAATATGCAGTTTAATGTCCAATTTTAATCAAAAACCATGATGTAAATTAAAATTAACAATGTAAAGGTTCCAAAATTAAAAATTAATTTGTTTGTTTGTTTATTAGTTTAAAACCCGGTTTGTTTGTTTATTTGTTTATTTAATTAGAAATCGGTTTGTTTATTTTTATTTGTTTAAAACCCGGTTTGTTAGTTTATTTGATTAGAAACCGGTGTTTTTGTTTATTTGATTAGAAAGGTGTTTGTTTGTTTATTTTATTAGAAAACGGTTTGTTTGTTTTTTATTTGTTGAAAACCCGGTTTGTTTGTTTATTTGATAAGAAAGGTGTTTACCTGAAAGGTGTTTAGCTGAAAGGTGTTTACCTGAAAGGTGTTGATGTATTGCTGACTCGTCCAAGACGATTCATAGATAAACTGCTTGCTGTACTCTTCTGGGATAATGTATCAAACTAAACAAACACACTTTTACTGCCCTCTTTATTCACAAAATACTTGTGTTGCTTGGGACTGTAGTGTACATTGTTGTGAAAAAAATGTCAAACAAAAACGTAAGTACTGTACAACGTACATTGCTAAATAACTTGCTGTAAGCTGTACCCCTGTTGAGATAAGATATCAAACACAAAAAAAAACTGTAAATTCAATCAATCAATCAAGGTACATTGATTAAACACTTTCTAAAGCCTGTACCCTTGTTGAGATAAGATATCAAACTCAAAACAAAATCATTTAATGTACAGTGTTCAGTGTTCAGTGTACAATGTACATTGATTAAACCCCTTGCTTTACGCTATACCCTTTTTAGAGCATAGAAACAAACTAAAAATAATATCATATACTGTACAATGTACATTGATAATATACTTGCTGTAAGTTGTACCCTTTCTGTGTAGAGAAATCAAACTCAAACAAAACCATGTACTATACAATGTACATGCTATAAGCAATACACTTTCTGTTATAAGATATCAAAATTTAACAAAATCATTTTCTTGTCCATTTACCCAACCTGGAATTTGTAGATAAAACTTGAAGGTAAGCATAAACAGTACTGCACGAGGACAAATTGTAAATTGTCAATTAAAATGCTTCCAAAACTCTAAATCAGTCCCTTCATTGTCTACCTTAAACATATCATCTCCCTCCTCATCAGAGTTTACTCCAGGATCTTGGTTCTCATCAAGTCTTCTATCTAAATATTTGGCAGTATTTTAAACAACATTTTTAACCCCCCCCCCCCCTCGTCCAGATTAAAAAATAACCCTTAAAGGGACAGTAAGTCTAATTTCAAGTGGCTCTCCATGCACAGACGGTGATTATTAACATTACCCTTAAAAGCTTTGTCGATTATAAGATGTTATAAGAGAAGAAATCTGAAAGAAGCCCCAGCTTAGGCAATGTTTTTGTTTCTTAAATCTATTCATTTTCATTTGCGGGTTCTTTGCAAACGTGACTTGCACATTTTTTTGCTTAAAGATAAAGCAACAGAGAAACTCGCATTTAGAGACACAACCGATTGTATCTTCCAATTTTTTTTTCAGTTTCAAGAGTAACGTTATAAATCGGGCATTACCATCTTCGCATGATGGGTCACTTTAAACAGTGCTACAGTCACTTTAAACGTAGAATGTACATAAAATAATGTATAGGTACAACATAATTCGCAACAAAAAAATGTGAATCTTAGATGACAGTTTTTGAATAAAAATTCTGCGAACAATCTAAAACATAATTTTGCTTACCAAGTGTACTCCACTGACGAGTTTCTGGAACAGAGTCTAGAGTTCCACGATCTTTACTCTAAATAATAACAATAATAATAATAATAATAATAATAATTATTATTATTATTATAATAATATTAATAATAATAATAAAATCATTATAGTATTGCTAATATAAAATCAAGATAAAATAAATAACATAAATAACATATAGTCTGAAAAAAATTCTAAATTGATTTTTTCAAAATCTTTTTTTTAATTTTTTTTACACGGGCAACGCCGGGCCCTTCATCTAGTTGTTAATGTTTTTAATACAACATTGATAATAATACAAATAACAACGATAACAACAATAACAGTAAGAACAATTCCAATAACAATAATTATAGTATAACATATAGGAATTATTAAAAAATAATAAAAAGATGCAGAATAATCAGAATTCAGATTTTCTGAAACTTACCAATTTTAAAGTACTCACAGACTTTTTAGCTTTCTCTCCAACCTTTTCAACCTAAAATATAATAAAGATTTTAAAAGTTATCCAAACAATATCAGACTTAAAAATTAGGTAAAATTCAATTCAATATGGCCCCCCCCCTCTTTTTAAATTTTATAATGCAAAATCTAATCTAATTATTTTTCTACCAAACCTAAGGAGGAATAGTTCTTTCCCATTGTATTTTCTAAATAATATTTTTTTTGGTGTTACGATTTTTAAAGTAAACAATAAAGATTGTAAATTATATGATGTCATCCAAAACACATGAAGAAGGATAAACAAATTCTTAAAACTTAATCTCTTAAGTTAAAAAAGTTTATGCAAAACGTGTTTTCAATTATTGTGATTTTTTTGCCAACTCAAAGGAATTGAGCCTTTGCCACAAACTCTGGTTTTTAAATCCCTATATCTTAACAACCCAATGTTGTAGACCTTAGATATTTCAAACTTTTACTTCTGTCATATCAAATAATCAAAGTTTGAAATATCTAAGGTTTACATAATTTGGTTGTAGATATATAGGTATTAGAAAATTGGGATTTGTTGCAAAGACTCAATTCCTTTTTGTTGTCAAGCAGCACAAAATAGAAATTAAATCAAAAAGAACAAAACCCCCCTCCCCCACTGTTTTCTTTGAAAACCATCCACAAACTGTATCCCCTCCTGGAAAATGTAAAAAGAACGTTAAAACAATTTCAAAATTTTATTCTTGCCAATTTAAACCCCTGAATGTGAGTCACAAGCTAAAACAACCTAGTTGATGCTATGGAGGGGGGGGGGGATGAGTAATAGTATAATTAATGCAAAGTTTGCTGATAAGATGTTCTCCAATAAATGTTCAGTAAAAAAATTTCTTCGATTTCTAGTCATTTATCAATTAAATAAAATTTGTTATGAATTTTGATTTTTAATCTGACATAATCTTACATGATCTTTCAAAACATGACGAGATTTTTGACAAATAGAAGATTTTCTACAGCAGTAAGTGATTTAATTTTTGACTAATATAATGTGTTTTTTTGGCTTCATAATTTGATTTAGGACAATTAAAATGTGATTTTGGACTAACCTAATGGGATTTTGACTAACATTATGAGACGCTTTAACTAACCTTATGTGACGCTGATTTCATAAGTTTCTTAATATTCCTGGATTCCTTGTTCCCTAAGGAGAGCAGTGAGCCTCCTATGTTCCCAGCAACCTGCACAAATAGATGGGTCATTGATTTGGAAATTTATTTATCTATTTATTTATGATTTATTTTTTGATTTATATACAGTGAGAACTAGAAAACTGTGGAATAGGAAGATGACACTAAAGCAATGATTAAGTGTATTTGATGTTGTAAGAATGAAAATGGGTTTACTAGTAACTTTTTAAAATTATTTATTCCGTGAAATGGGTCTGTTAACACTGCACAATTACTGTGTCTCATTACCATTGTACTATTCAAATTTATAAATAGTGTCTTAAAGTTGTCTTCATATTCCAGAGTTTTATAGTTCTCACTGTTAATATTTATTTATATTGTATTAGGTAAACCCTGCAGCACGTTGTTATTTAAAAACATCTAAATTTTTTAACAAAATAAAACCAAAAACTCAAACTAAAGTTAAAGGGATTTTTAAAAAGAGTAATTGACAAAATACTGCTCAATATTGTAGAGCTTGCACATGTTGGTTCGCAGTGAATATGTTCCCAATAGCTTGAATATCACCTTGTTAAGTGATGAAAGGGATCCTTTAGTCTTCTTAGTTAAGTCAGCTGTACTCCCTCCAACGCTCTCGGAGGCTTTTACAGTAAACCCAATTCTTACCTAGACACAGTCAAGATCAAGATCAAGATCAAGATCAAGACCAAGACCAAGACCAAGACCAAGACCAAGACCAAGACCAAGCTCAAGCTCAAGCTCAAGCTCAAGCTCAAGCTCAAGCTCAAGCTCAAGCTCAAGCTCAAGCTCAAGCTCAAGCTCAAGCTCAAGGCTGAAAAAGAGCAAAAAAAGAATAAAGACCATATGATCTAGATCAAAGTCTGCTAAAGTCACGGTCAAGATCAAGAACATGATTCAAATAAAGAGCAAAAGAAAAAAGTAAGAATGAAAACCATAAGATAAAGATAAAGTTCTTAATGAAGATCAAGATCAAGATCAAGATCAAGATTAAAGTCAAAGTCAAGATCAAAGTCAAGATGAATATGAAGATGAATAGAAGATGAAGATGAAGATCAAGATGAAGATCAAGATGAAGATCAAGATCAAGATGAAGATCAAGATGAAGATCAAACTCAAGGTTAAGATCATAGTAGATGTCAAGCTTAATCTCAAAGACAATGTCAAAGTGTAATAATCAAGATTGGTGTCTAGGTTAAGTTCAAATAATCACGATAAAAAAATCAAAAAATCTAATATTTTTTACCTCTAATTCTCCTCTGTAATCTTTCTTGGTTTGGCCGGCCTTGCATTTGAGTGAGTGCCATCTAAATATATAATATTTTTATAGTTTTGATATATTTTATAGTTCTTATGAGTAAATGGTTTCTATAAACCTCATTTCCCGCGCACCAAAAATATATGAAATTTTGGGAGAACAGTATTAAAATAAGACAAAAGACAAAAGACGGAATGAACCCTTAATCTTATTATCTTGCTAATGAGAGTCATCAGTTATTATTTAAAATAAGTAAATCGGATAATGCTCCCATGTTTTCTAACCGATATTATTTAGAAATCTTAAAAGTTGAATTGAGCAGATGACAAACTGACAAGCAGATGACAGAGCTCTGATGGATAGATTACTGCTTCAACTTTTATCTTCAAATATTCAGGCAGACAGGGTTGTTAATTGAGTTTAAAAAATAATAAGATTTAAAAAATGTATTCTGGTAAAGTTTGCTCTTATTAAACTTTGCAATATTTTACCCTGAAAAATAAATCGATCCCAAAAATGATCAGTAAAACGCGTTTTTGGCGTCATTTTTGGGTTGTTTTTGCGTATATCTTCTGCCAGGGCCAGGATTTAACAAGGTGTAAGAAAATCAAATATTTAGAATAAAGGAATTGAGTCTTTGGCACAAGCTCTGATTTTCTAATACATATTTCTTTGCAATCCAATTTCGTAGACGTTAGATATTTCAAACTATGAATTCTGTTAAGACCAAATAGCCTAAGTTTGAAATATCAAGGGTTTCCACCATTAGGTTGCCGAGATATTAGGATTAATAAATTTGAGTTTGTGGCAAAAACTCAATTCCTTTGGGAAAAATGAACCCACTAAATTATATTCATGATTAGGCATTTAAAAGGTTTCAGACAAAAACATTTGGATCCAAAGAGTTTCATTGCAGAAAGGTAATTATTAAAAAGAATCAGAAAAACTCTGTAAAGTCAAGAACGGTAATTAAGGAAAACTGATACTTCTCCCTTCTAAAAAAAATAATTTTATAAACTTGTATGCCTCAGCCTAAACTTAACTTTTTATCAGACTGTATTAAAGCCTGAAAACGTTCTTGAAAACAACCGAGTTTTCGCCCCAAACTCTGAATTTAAATCCTTTTCATCTCTGCACCCCTATTTCGTCGATCTACTATAATTCAAATTATGAATTCGATCAGAACAGTCTAGGTTGAAAAATCAAAGGTTCACACCACCAGTTTGCAAAGATATAGGGATTAGAAAATTTGATTTGTTGAACAAAAAAACACTCAGTTACTTTGAAGGTAAATACTGTTAAATATGGAAATATATTTTATCCTTTAGATTACATACAATGAAAAATTCGTCTTCTATTATTATTGTCGAATTTTATAAATTTAATAGAAAATTCTTGGTCCCATAGCCTTGAATAATTCTAAAATAATTAGATTTGAATATCTAACATGTGTGTGGATGCAGAATAATTAAAATCCTAGCTAATTATTGCAATTACTGAGGACGTCTGTTGTATTAATAATATATTAAATTAAATCTTTTAATTACTATTTAGTCATGCAAAATAAATGTCCTCGACTATTGGTCTTCTCCCCCTTTTTGTAGAATTCATTTCTACAAATCAAAATTGCTACTAAAACAAACTTCTATTTTCATCTTTAAAAGTTTTATGAAAATTTATTGTTCAAGTACTTTGATTTGAAAGTCAAATCAAAATAACAAAACGTACTTAATTTTGAGCAAGTTCAAAAGTCAAAATTTCAGAAAGGGAAATGTTTATTGAGAAGTTCAAAAGACTAGACATTGATACGTTATTTATGTTCGGTATGTAATACATGATATATGTTTGGTATGTAATAAATTATATATGTTTGGTATGTAATATATGATATATGTTTGGTATGTAATACATGATATATGTTTGGTATGTAATAAATTATATATGTTTGGTATGTAATATATGATATATGTTTGGTATGTTATAAATGATATATGTTTGGTATGTAATAAATGATGTATGTTTGGTATGTAATAAATGATATATGTTTGGTATGTAATACAAGTATATGTTTGGTATGTAATACATGATATATGTTTGGTATGTAATACATGATATATGTTTGTTATGTAACACATACTATATGTTTGGTATATTATACATTATATATGTATGGTATGTTTAACTACACAATTCTACTATATTAGCCCCCCGCTGGTATTCCATGATGATCCCATTCAGTATACCTGCATATGTATTATGTACATCTTGCAAGATATATCAAGTAAACATATTGGGAATTGGTGTTTGTTATCCAGGATAGTAAATTTTTTTGGATCGTTTAAACAAACAAAAAACAAAAAACTTCCATGATTTGAAAATTGTATGATATTTAAGTTTGCTTTAAATTAAACTTTGAAATAACTTTATCTTAAAAACAAAAAGGGAAAACGATCTTTAGATTCGTTTTAACAAAGTTTTTGCATAGTTTTTGGGTATTTGTTTGCGTATATTTTCTGTCAGGGCCAAACTTAATATAGTTTAAGAAAAACAAACCAACTAAAGGCACAATCAGTATTTTCACAAAAGTTTTTTAAAATGCATTTTTTAAATTTGCTAATTTTTATCTTAACTTTCAAGACATTTTTCAATATTCAAGTTCATTAAGTTGACAAAAGCCCCAAAAAACAGAACGTAATAGCTGACAAAAAGACTAGATTGAAGTATCTTTGCAAATTTAAAATTTTTCTTCAAAATTCTTCAAACGCATGTTTAACTGAATTCATAATTTTTGCTTACTTTTAGAGAGACATTAATAACTAATATAAAGTAAATGTAAATACACTCAAAAAATATAAATTCGTCATATGGCACGACATGAACAGTATGCATTGGCTGTAATTCAAATATAAAACAAACCCAGAAATATTAATTAATGTTCTTTATCATTGCAAAATCTGTGCAAAAGCTATTTATTGTATTTGCTGAACACAGCTGGTGTTATCCTTGCAAATTCAGAATATTGCAGAATATTTTTGAGAAATACAAAAACTCCATTTTAGAATTGTAAGATGCATCTGGTTAGGTTTGCTAGTTAAAACCTAATGTGGGCAGATGTTTGTAAGTTTAGCCCCAAGAATGCCAAAAAACTGCAGAATTGTTAACTTATAAGGTTAGGTTTAGGAAGGTTACTGGGAAACATAAAAGAAGGGATGGGTACAAATATAAATACTTTGCTAGTCAGTCGGTCTGTCCGTTTGTCTGTATCCAATAAACGTCAAAACGGCTGAACCGATCGGGCTCAAATTTTTTCTGGGACCTCACATGACCCCAGGGAATGGTTATAGATGATCAAAATTTCATAAATTTGCCTCCAATAATTTTCATTAAATAATCAAAATCCATGAAATTTTTGTAAACACTTTTTTGTTATTGTTTTACAATGCGTACAAAGAGAAAATGCGTAGCGACCTGAAAGCCTAGTATTAAAAAAATGACCTTTAAAATTTCTATCTTCATATTTCTTAAGTTTTTCCTTTTAAATTTGATTATTTTAAATTCAACGCATTATGTTAAAAACCTTTATTCCTTCATAAAAAGAAAGAGATATTTATCTGTATATTACAGGAGAACAGTGCAGAACGTAATGGGGGGGGGGGTAAAATAGGAACCAACATCCCCCCCCTCCCCTCGCACCCCTAAATTTATAAATGGAAAACATAAAAACAATCGTTTCGCCATTTGTAACAGACATGCAATATATTGGAAAGCCCCCCCCCCTTAACTTAGAAGCTTACTACATAACCCCCTTCTTAAAGGCATTCCTACCCCCCCCTCTTCCCATCTAGACGCTTCCTACATCTGTATCTCTTCCAACAACAAACATAAAGACTAGAGGGGAGATTTTAAAAGACAGAGATTAACATCGGTTTAAAGCAGGGATCAACATTCTTCTTTATAACTCATTCCCATTCCCCATTTTCGAGCATTCTTATTTGATTTTTTACTGGATTAAATAATTCTAAAGTGTTGGTATTTTTATTTGTGCCCCCCCCCCCCCTGTTTTTAGGGTTTTCAGGGTTAGCGTGCATATATAGGCCTAGATTAAAATCTAGAGTCAACAGGGTGTCACGAAATAATTTTGACAATTAAAAAAATTTATGGTTCTAAATCAATTTTATTTTAAGATTTAAAATAAAAAACTCGATTTTAAAGACGTTTTTTCCACTTGCAAAATTTCCGGGACACCCGTTGGAAGAGAAGAGTATAAGACGGATATATAAATACAAGTTTAACCTAGGGCCAATCTTAGTTAAACATTATTTCGTAGATCCCTTGAAGAGACTGTTGTAATTTCAAGACCCTACATCTATATATAAATTTAGCTTGTCTGTCTTGGTGTTTGTCTGTAATTGTTTGTATCCAATAAACGTCAAAACGGCTGAACCGATTGAAAGTTTTTTATTTTTGTAAAATTTTGAAAATGCGCGAAAAAATATAATGAAACTTTGTTGTTTTTGTTTTATACTGTACACAGAGAAGATGCTCACAGATAAAGCCACAATTAAAAGTTAAAATAGAAGATGGGCGCGAAGCGCAGTTAAAGCCTAATTTTCAAAGTTAAAAATACATGTCACATATAATGGGTCACATTAATTAAACAAAGGTTTAAAGGGTACAGTTGTAAATCGGACATGTTTGTCTATAAATGAAGGTTCACTTGGGATCACGTCCACAGTCCCTTTAATATGATTGTAGGATATATCTGCTCTTTTAAGAATAAGATGCTATAAGAACGGAAACACGGATATACAAATATGATTGTCCCCGGGGCTTGAAACACAATTAAACTGAAGTTGACAAATATACTTAGTATTAATTAAACGTGATATAAGCAAAACAGTAGCTGGCAATATCACCAAGCAAATATAAAAGCTTTGATCTAATTTGAGCAAAAATTAAAAAATCATCTGATATGATAATATGAGTGTTGTGTTAAAATCATAACTTTAGTCCAACAGTCGTCTTCTTTTTCACAGTTTTAGTAGTCTCTCTGTAATGTTTGTGGTTTGAAATGTTTCTAGAAGAAATCTTGAATATTCAGTAGACAGCATATTTGTTGCTTAGGGCACATCATATTTCCGGAGTAGTTTCTTGGTTGTCAATTATAGAATAAACAACACATGTAGGTTTAGAAAACTTGTAAATTATGCAGTACTATTCTTAAACAGGCGGAATTGAAAATACTTAGAAGTTGACTTTAACTTTGAAATAGTTTGCGGTAATCATTTGGCAACCTAATTTTCTTTGTTCTCAATTGTTTCTGAAGCAAGAAATTCGCAAGTCACTTTTATAGAGAAAGAACAAATGAAAATAATCAGTTTTCAAAAACAAAAGCATGGATATCTAAATCAAATAAAATAAAATTGTAGACTCCGCTTTTAAGGGTATTGTTGTGAATAGGTCACATCGTTGATTCAACGGAGGGTCACTTTAAATTACGTTTACAATCACTTTAATCAGATAGAAATGCAACATTTACTAATTGCAACAATAAAACTATATAAAAGATATAAAAGATCCTAACTGACCTGGTTTTTGGTCGCTCGTAAATATCGAAATCTTTTAATGGCAGGCTAACTTGTCCTGAAACAAGAATAGATTAGACTATGTATGTGTTGTGTACGGTTTAGCCGGCTATAGGTACCACACAGGGTTACCAGCAAAGAATGAGACCTCTGACGGATTCATTCTGTCTGCTTTTTTATACTCCCCACAACTATAAACTTGTTTTTTACACTCCCCACAACTATAAACTTGTTTTTTATACTCCCCACAACTATAAACTTGTTTTTACACTCCCCACAACTATAAACTTGTTTTTTACACTCCCCACAACTATAAACTTGTTTTTTATACTCCCCACAACTATAAACTTGTTTTTATACTCCCCACAACTATAAACTTATTTTTATACTCCCCACAACTATAAACTTATTTTTATACTCCCCACAACTATAAACTTATTTTTATACTCCCCACAACTATAAACTTATTTTTATACTCCCCACAACTATAAACTTATTTTTATACTCCCCACAACTATAAACTTATTTTTATACTCCCCACAACTATAAACTTATTTCCTTCTTTGTCAAATCATTGAATTAAAGGACTAAATGCAAGGCAGAAGACTTCACTTAAGCCTGGGGTCGTCATAATTAAAGTTTCAAGTCGTCTTTACAGTCTCATCCTTTGTGGGTAACCCTGTACAATACATAAACATATTAATTTCCATATTTTGAATATAACCCTCCAAAGGGAGTGACCGGCAATGTATGTTAGTTGAACTGAGAATGTAGTTTTGTGGAGAAATTTTTTAGGATACACATTTGAGACATATAAAACGTTTTAATGATGTATTGTATAATCACTGATTTTGAGCACAAAGTCGACTTTCAAAATCATCCATTTGGGTGGTTCCGTTTGAGAATTATTTTTTTTTAAATTATTAATTAACAACGACAAAAAATGTAACAAAAATTCTAAAGTAAACTAATTGGTTGTTTAGGAACAGGTTAAGAAAATAAAAAGTAACTCTTATCATCGAAAATAAGTAATTTTATTAATTTATTAATTTTATTTTGTTATTACTTTTGGTAATCTCTCATTGTTCACAAACATTTTCTGGAATCTTTATTGAAAAGACGACATTAAAGAATTTGTAGAAATCTGCGAACAAATTCTTAGAGAATAAGACATTCAATATAATGATGAAAAAGAAATAATTTATTCTAACATTGATATATTTACAAATTTCTATCAGGGAAAATGTTCCTACACATCTAATTAGTTTACTGTAGCCACCAAATGGAAGATTTTGAACGTCGACTTTGCGCTCAAACTCAGTAATTATACATCATTAAAACGTTTTATATGTCTCAAATTAATCCTATCAAATTTCTTCACAATACTACATTCTTAGTTCTACTAACATTAATTGCTGGTCACTCCCTTTAAGAATTGATTGTAAAGACTAGAAGAACAATGTATTGTATCAACTCTATAATCCTATCTGGTTCTATGCCAAGAAATTTTTTATCCTTCCATTATAATTCATCAAAAGTTATTAGCTATCATGATACTTCCTTCTACGTATCTACTTCCTTCATTCTCTAGAATCATCCTTCCTTGCTTCTACCTTCGTCCTTCTACTTTTCTTTACTTCCCTTTATTTTTTTTTCTGTAACTTTGATTTTATTTTTATTTTCCTTCTTTCTTGACTTGTATTATTTCTTCTTTCTAATGTTTTCATGTTTTATTCTTTCCTCCATATTTCCTTTTTCTACAAAAGTTTAACATTCCATACTTAATTATCTATTGTCTCTATTAAGATCTTAACCCCCCCCCCCTAACCCCTATACAGGTGAATAGTTGCACAATTCGACTGTTCTTGTTGTATAATGATATAATGAGCTAGTGTCCGGAACCTGGGTCCTATTTCCTTCCTGTCCTCTCACCAATATTTCCCAAACATAATATTTCAGGGTTTCAGGCTTTTTGTTCGGAGTTGCCAACTTTTGAATGGCTGGTAAGGGTTGAACTCATTCTATCCTTGTAGAGATTAGCTTATGTTTTTATTTTCAGATCCGAAGAGAGATGGCAAACAAAGACCTGCATGCTAAGTATACAAAGGAAACACAAGAAAGAAGACTAACTTCAAACATTTCTTTTTCACCAATAGAGAAATCTTGAGCGATAAAATCTGGAAATTAGGTTATTTTTAAGTATATTATGAACAATCCCTTTGATAAAATTTTGACATTAGGTTATTTTTAAGTATATTATGAACAATCCCTTTGATACAATTTTGACATTAGGTTATTTTTAAGCATATTATTAACAATCCCTTTGATAAAATTTTGACATTAGGTTATTTTTAAGTATATTATGAACAATCCCTTTGATAAAATTTAGACATTAGGTTATTTTTAAACATATTGGGACAATCCCTTTGAAAAAATTTAGACATTAGGTGATTTTTAAGCATATTATGAACAATCCCTTTGATAAAATGTACCAATACATGAAAATTTTTTCCAAATAACGTTGTCTGAAACTAAAAAATAAATTTTTCAAGGGTGAATAAAATAACATATCATCCCGGGTATAAATAAGGTATATTTACCCAGGAATTCGTCTACTCCGATCAGGTTTCTGTGTAGAACTGTTAAATTTACTTCAGCTGTGTTTCCCTGGGTTGGTATTAACCTACAATATGTATAGTTATTAAAGAGAGTGCTTTCAAAATCTGAAAAAGGAGTTTAGAAGCCGGAAGTTTAAATTTTCTGGGAGAAAAACAAAAAATTGGACATCTTAATGGTAACTTTTTGAATCTCATATTTTAATTGATTAAATTCATATTTTTTCTTCTTCCCTTTCTTTATTTCAAATTAGTCCCACCTGAGGCCGAATTTAATGAATTTGAGCAGCGATTTAAATTTGAGACGCAGCTCAAATATGGTTGGTTCCACTGACAATTGTATTCAATGTTTCAAGATTTAAGCCGGCCATGAATTAAAACCGGTTTTTGGCGGATTTAAGGCGCGGCTCAAATTCATTAAAATCGGACTCTGGCTATTTTTCATTATAAAAAAATGACTTACAATTCACACTGTTCCATCCATTCTACAGGATCTCCACTCTTCTCCTTAGTCGAGGTTCTGTAGTGTACATAGTTTCAACTATAATGTACATAATGGGGGGTTGGGGGTAAATAATGTTGTAGGAGGAAATAACATTCGATGATTTTATGGAAAATAAAAAATTGTTCAATAAATGGCCATGTTTTTTCCTTTTTCTCTTTTCGTGTATAGTCAGATATCAGTTAATTTGTACACAGCCAACTGTACACTAATAACAAGTAACTGTAAACAGTTAACTGTACTTTTACACCAACTGTACACTGAGAACAATCAATTGTATGTACACTGTACAACGCAAAAGATAGAATTCCAATATTGGAATCTTTATCTCCGACGTGAACACATTTCCCGAACCTATCTATTTCCAGGCCGAGATGAAATGTCAAAGTCTGATTGACACATATCAGGATAGATCCTTTTTTGGGCAAGCGTCAAAAAAATACACATGTTTAAAAAATCAAGATTTCAGATAGTTTACACAGAGCCAAATCAAAATAGATTTAATATATAATCATGATAAATGCATTGAATAGGAGAGGAGAGAATGGTGATGCATGATGCAGATAAAACCAATTTTGCTGTTTCCGATCAAACCTTTAAACCACACGGAGGTTAGAAAGTTAACCAAGAAGGAAATTAAACAAAAACAAAAAACCACATATTGGGGGGAAAAATTTAAGAATTGGATCCATCAAAAAGCAAGTTTTTTCATTCTTTCAGAAAATTTTTCCTCAAAAGATTTCGTTATTTCGCACTAAACTTATTGATTTTCCCCCATTTAGCGAGAAAAAAATACCTTACAAATATGAAAGGAGGGGGGGGGGGGGTATTAAGTTTAAATATGTTGAGACTTGTTCCTAAATTTCTCTTTCCCCAGTCCAATAGTCACAAAGGCATCGTTTGTTCCTTCCTTTCCTTTCACCTTCAACCCCTTGGCTCTCTTCACTAAAATATATAAACTAGTTAATTAACAAACAGACAAAACAAACAAACCAAACAAACCAAAAAAACAAACCAAACAAACAAACCAAACAAACAAACCAAACAAACAAACCAAACAAACAAACCAAACAAACCAAACAAACCAAACAAACCAATTAAACCAATTAAACCAAACAAACAAACTAACAAACTAACCAAACGCCCGACATTGAATCTAACATACAAGCATACAATCAAAACCCAACCTTAACAAAAATACAAACACACACATTTACACTAACAATAACATACAAATATACAAACACTCGTACAATGTATATAGAACCTACCACAGCAACTGTATGCAAAACTGAATAAGGAAGTTATGTCTAGTATGCCTAGTGTATCATCTAGATGAATTTATGAATAATAATAATAACTCAGGGTGCTCAAGTATACACATGCTTTAATACAAACTACTTCTATCAGATGGTTTGTGACTATCTGCACTTCATTTTAAAGGGATTGTTTCATTTACCATAATTACCCTCGTCATAATATGTTTGCCATAAATGTACAGGGTTTCTCAAAACAAACGGGAAATAAGGGTCTACAGACTCGTTTGTAATCGGATTTTCGTAGGCACGTTATATAGATAGATACATAAATAGATCAAGATTGAGACCATTCTTAAAATCTTAGTACAATTTCCGATTTAATGAGACCAATTTTAGGCTTGTAGATCAAAAATGACAATTTCAAGGCTCCTAAAGTTTCCCAATGAACTGAGTAATTTAGAAAAAATAAGAAAATCTCCGTTTGCACAATTTTGTATAAGAGTCTACAATTTAATGTAATTGGATGTTCAAGATTGAGACCATTTTTGATATCTACGTACAATTACGGATTCAATGAGGCCAAATTTAGGCTTGTAGATTCAAAATCAATAATTTCATAGGCTCCTAAAGTTTCCAACTGGAGCGAAGTAAAAAGTAAAAGATAATCTCCGTTTGCACAATTTTATATTTAATGTTAGGTTACAATTTATTTCAGTACAATTGTTTTTTTTAGATCTACAAGTCTAAAATTGGGCTTATTTGAATCAGTAATTGTACGTGGATATTAAAAATGGTCTCAATCTTGAAAATCCGATTACAGACAAGTCTGCATAGATCCTTGTGTACAAACTGAGATTATCTTTATTTTTACCAAATTTACTCACTCCAGTTGGAAACTTTAGGAGCCTTTAAAATTGCCATTTTTGGATCTACAAGACTAAAATTGGTCTCATTGAATAAGATATTGTAAATAGATTTTAAAAATGGCCCCAATCCTAAAAATCGAATTATAACGAGTCTGTAGACCCCGTTTTTTCAGAGAGACCCTGTATATCACTTCCCAAAAATTATACATGCCAATTATTGCAAAAGTGATCATGACAAGTGTAACTTATGGCAAGTGTTATTTATCAAAAGTATTTATGGCAAGTTTAATCATGGCAAATGTATTTAAGTGTTATGGTAAATGAAAGTGAACCATTGTTGGCATAATAAGGCAACCTTTTGTTTTTAAGTCTCATGGATTATTTACTATTAACGATATAAAGATATCTTTGTCTTTTTTTCTGAAAATTGACAACTGCTTTTTGGGAAGTATTTCCTGGAATTCTACTTCGCAAAACAGAAAAAAGCACTTTTTTGAAGAAATGGTCTAATGGACTCCTATATCTATATATATACAATATACATCTGTATATAAATGTAAGATTAACTTCAAATTAAATTAGATAGTTTTATTGTCAATAAGGAAAATAAGGATTTATTTGGTTTACGTGAACATTCGCTTTTTTTCTAATACATTCAACTTAAATATAATATTCTTAAATTGTAAAAAATCTATTTTATCTGTTTATTTCAGTTGTATTAGACGAATTTACATTTGAACGGACCGTAATAGCATTTTTATTGGTTGTAATATTATTTATAAGGTTACTACCGTTGCCACTAAAATCAGACCCATACGTTTTATGATAATCAGGAACTACTTCAAAAACTGTGAATTCTGTGAAAATCCCCCCCAACACTGGCCAGAATTTTGAGAACTGCAAGTCCAAATTGTGTGTCGGAAAAGGGCGTGAAGTATCTTGAATTTCTAATATATAAATAATTGTTAAGGACATATTTTGTTTTCTTATATTTATATGAACCGTGGAGGCAATCTATTCAAGTATTTATAAACATTGTATACAATCTTACTTGTATATAAACTCAGGGTCACACCCCTTCCCCCCCCCCCTCCCTTCTTCCTTTCATGCTCCTTTTCCACCCACCCAAACATCTCTCCCTTCCTACTCACCCAAATATCCTCCCTTCCTTCTACTCCCTTCCTTCTACTCCCTTCCCACCCACCCAAACATTATTCCCCCCTTCCTACTCCCTTCCTACCCACCCAAACATTCCCCCCTTCCTACTCCCTTCCTACCCACCCAAACATTCCCCCCTTCCTACTCCCTTCCTACCCACCCAAACATCCCCCTTTCCAAGTGTACTGCAGTTTGTGGGAAGAAGGTTAATGAACACACTAAGTCCTAACCAAGATTATAAGGCTAGGAAAGTTAATTGCTGTCGCGTATTCTCTGCGTATATATTGAAACCAGTTCTCTCTGGGCGGATTTGTAAAGAAGAATAGATACATTAGTGTTCCTCTAGTATCCGAGGAGGATAAAAGTATTTAATTTTGAAAATTTTGATAATTCATATAATAATTTTTCTATGACCATAATATTTCATTTATTTTTTAAGTGAAAGATGGATCCCATGGGAGGCTGTGAAATCCGCCTTGTGTTTACTTTTCCGCCCAGAGACAGTACACTGCAGTACTATAAATGCGAACATCTCTGAAATAACTAGCTTTACATTATAATTTTTTAGTCCTAACTTTGTAAACTGCAATTTAATATAGTCAAGTTCAGAACACCGGACAAATAGTTCTTCGAACCTTCTCAATATATTAACATATTTCGTGAATTTACACATTGCAGTATGCAGATTATGTAGAACGAATATCCTTAATCTATAATTCGACCACGCGGCATAATTTTCTTCTCTGCGCGCTTGCCGCGTGTCAGATGAAAATCTACAAAATTTGCAAATTTCTGGCAGGAAAATTACATGCCATCAATGTAAATTAGATGCACTTCTAATATCTTTGAATAACTTTTCTTATGGGATTAACATGTGATCGTTAACTTAACTAAACATGCAATATGTTAAGAATTTTTATTTGATCTTTTCAGTTCAACAACTGTAATTATAAAAACCTATTTTGGTTTATATATAAACCTTAAGAGGCGACCACACACAATTAAAAAAGAGGACATGAGCAACGCAAAATTGGAACGCCAAACATGGTTGGGCGTTTGTTTGTTTATATCCCCTCTCCTCCCTTCAACCCTGTGTCAGGTCTGTTCTAGTATAAGAGACCTCACCTTTAGGAGTCTTTTAAAAATCAAATCAGCAGATTGAAATTAAATGCAATTTCATTTGAAAGAAAAATATCATGAACGATTTAAATTTTTGTTCAAGAGGAAATGATTTTGAAGCATATACGAAAAAATGTGTTTTTTTTTGGAACAAAAAACAATAAATATCATGTCAATTTTTTACTTTATACTTATTCGGATGGTGTTTATCTTAAAAAAAAATTATTTACGCCAAAATTAAATTAATTAATGAAGAATGTAGAAACTCTTTCTTGACATAAGGATAAATGAAATAATGGAAAGGGGGGTAAGGGGATACTAAAATGATCCAATTTTAGAGTACTGTCTAATTATAAAAAGTCCAACTGTTATTTTTACTAAGTGATGTAAAATTTTAATAAAAACATTTAAAAACAGCCATTTTTGAGTAACAGCGGGTGGGGGAAAGTGTTTCGGAAAGAGGGGAGTAAAAATTTTAATAAATAAAATAAGAAGATTCTAGAGTAAACAAGTATTATCTCTACAACAAGTATGCTGTGTCAAGTACTGTATGGAAACAATAGCTTGATTTTTATTTAAATTCTTTGTTTAAAGAATGAAAAAATATATAGTTTTTATCAATTTTATGATACTTTCTGCACAATTGCACAAAATATTGACATATAACATACAAGCAGTACCCGTGGAATTTTAAAAACAGTTTTGAAATAAATTGAATTATGAAAAGAATTTTAATTAAAACAAAAATTTCGAATTAAAAAAAATATCAGGACATTTAGTCAAGCCGTTTGGATAGCTATTGCTAACTAATACAGGGTCGGTTTTGTTTCAATGGTACATAAAACAATTAGGTAAACTAACTACATGCAGAGACGACTGCAAAGATACTATTTCGAATTATTTCTTAAATACATGGTTCTCTGCAACTGTAAGCTCTATTTCAGTTCTTGAATCGCCATTTCTTTGATCAAATTTAATCTTCCCTAATAGTTCTATTGGAATAGCTAGCATGGTCATAAAAGTTTATTTTATCTCAATATATATGTATTATGTATATTTACTTTGCTTGTTTGAATCAGAATTACAAAAACTTGTTTGTAAACTTTTGATTTTCGTAAAACTTTTAAATCCACGAAAAAAATTATAAATCTGCAAAACTTTTTATAATTGTTTTAACGAAAAGAAAATGCTGAAAAATTGAGCAACAAATAAAAGTTGAAAAAATGTAAATCACAGCATTTTTCTTAACTTTATTTGTAAATGTAGGAATGTATAAATCGTCACTTAAAGTTTTTAAGAATATAAATTCTTTGTTATAAAGTTGAACTTTATAGGGTTTCATATTAATTATTGAAGATTTACTTTTTGCTACATTTTGTGTGCTTCCTCAGATATAGATTTCAATTTAAACAATTCAGTTTTAAATAATAGTCAATGATATTTAAAAAAAAACGTTTGAGAAAACATTTTAACAATAAATTTATATTTTTTTCTTAAGATTTTGATCATCCCTGCAGTGGTGGTTAACATGATACAAAACTTTAATCTTTTCTTTCTATATGAGGAATGGGATTTAAAGGTAGGTAAAAGTAACCTTGAGTTTTTAGAATGGCATGTCTGATTCACAACCCTTAAACCTTTATCAAGCAGCAAAATGACGAATTTTTCCTTCTTTACTATCTTAAAATTGGGAGAGAAATAAAGGATTACAGGGTAATATTGTAAATCCAACTGAATACTAAATGAGTAAAGATTCTCTTGAAATTACGCCTAAAGTTCCTTTAACGTGTTGAATAATAAATAATTGTGTAATAGTGACACCTCCCTGCAACCTTCGCTGTAGAATGTAGATTCATAAATAAATTTAGCGGAAGGACTCGACTTTAATTCAAAGATTGAATTATCATTCAAAGATTTACCTCCCCCCTCACACAACGGAAAAAATCCTGCACGCACACAGATTACAAACAAACAAACATTCTCATGATCCTGCATAAATACCTAGAACTTGAACGTGTGTTGGACTCCACATTGTTCAACAACTAAGTACAATCAGCTTCCTTCAAATAATTTCACTTTCCGCAGATTTTCAATAATTTCCAATCTCGTGGATTTTCACTTTTCTCCGTTTGCGGTTTCACTCTCACAGACACAGGGTGATTTTTACTACAGGTGCGCGTAGAAAATAAACTCACTAAATCATTTTGCCTGAAAAAAAGAACGCATGAATCAGATGAAATAATTGTTTATTTACAAATTCCCAGACATAAAGAAATAGTTCTACATGCATTACACAATGTTCAAATGATGTACTGTGAGAAAAGAATTATATTTCATAATAATTAAAGTTATATATTTTTATTATTTCAAGATACTTTTAAATGTGTGTAAGAAAAGAAATTTAAAAACAAATTGAAAAGAGTAAATTATTAAGAGATACAAAAATAACTTTTAATAAGCTTCTTGGGATTCGTTTACAATCATATGCCTAAAAATAATATCCGTATATGTATTTGTTCAAAAATTTTTAATATTAAAACGTATAAAGTCCAGAAATGGCGAAACCAAAGTGAAGGTTTTTAACACAATACAAAATTAATAAAATATATTTTATTTAGGTCATAACTAAACTCATGACAAAAGCAGCCGTATTTGTCATCATTTTTAAACTTAAAATTTTCTAATAGATACATTCTCAGACATTTCACGTAAACGTTTAACTTTATCTATCTAAACCTCCGTCACGTATACAACGTGAAATCCCCCCCCCCCCCAGTAAAATCTGAATGTCAAGGGTTGAAAGTCAGAGACGTGCACAAGTGCACAGTGCACACTGCTTAGTGCACAGTTCACATATACACAAAATAGTAGCGGTGCAAAATTAGCTGCAGTTTGAGGGGGGGGGGATTTCACATTTAGCTCAATTCTCCTTTTTATTTAAAATATTTCATCTTTAGTATGAGGAGCAACTATGGGGGGGCGACTAGGCAGCCGCCCTTTCCTAGCTTTTCTGGTCTAGCCCCCCCCCCCTCTTGGAGGTTGAAAAACCGGAATTTACAAGTCAACACCAGGGACAAAAAATAACATGCTTGTGTCCATGAAAAATAAAAAAAATGTAGGATTTATTTCTAATAAAAACCTTGAGCCCCCCCCCCCCCAAATGTTGTCTAAACCAAATATAAGGTAAAAAAAATCATGTTTTGCGATTATTTCGATTTGTTATTTATTTCTTTAACCTTGAGCAATAATTAATATAATTATAAAGAATAACGATCGTCTTTTTTCAAAAAGAACAAATATGAATTATAATCGATAAAAAGAACGATATTTAATTGTAAATACAGAAAAATAAGTATATTTCATAATCCACAAATTCTAACTTAATATTCTTTGAAAATCTTTGAGTTTGACGTAATCATATTCCTTATCTCATTTAACTAACTCATAAAAGGTATACAGATAATAAAACTTAAATTAATTTAAAACGCAAGGTCTAATTAGTATATCTATCTATACATATTGTTGTTCAATAACACTTGTTATTATCCCATTGTTGTTCAGAACAATAAAATAAAAAACGGAATCCCACAAAAAATATTTAAAGGGACTGTCAACGTTTTTAAGTGTCCCTTCAGCTGTCATTTAAAAAGTTAGCGAACCAACGGTGGATGCAATTCTAAAAGCACTTGTTGATTTCTATCGTAAAATAAAATTCTCGTTCAATTCTCAAAGTAAGGTTTAAAAGGTGCAATTGTGAACTGTTTATGGTATAGTTTAAATAAAGGATCTTTCATTTTTACAAAGTTCTTAAATTATGTTATATAATTATCAAAAACAGGAATTTTGAAAAATTCACTTCACCCTCATGTGTTTATTTATCAAGTTATACAGGGTTGCTCAGAAAGAATGAGACTTCATAGACGACTGTATGGAATTTAATCTGTTTCTTTAAAGTTATGGCTCCCTGAAACTTTGTTTCTTTCTTTGCCAAAACAATAATTAAGCCATAAAACTTAATTAAACATTGACATCGTCATAGTTCAGAAGTTTTAGGTCGTCTTTACAGTCTCATTCTTGGTGGGTAACCCTGTATATTATCTCTGAACAGTGTAAACAATAAAATGTCCTGCCTGCCTGGCAGCCAGGATCTGACTGCCTGTTTCAGGCAGAGTCCTGATACTGTCAGGTGTGTGCCGGGGGGAGGGGGGGGGGCGGGCTCAGAATTCGTGGAAGTGTAATTACTTTTTTATAGTTGATCATAAACAAATGCAAGAATAATTATTTTTTTTAAAAAGCTTGTTTGACCCTATTACAGATATCTTTTTATTCACAATTTCGCAGTGCTGGATCCAGATCCGGATCCGCAAAAATATTAGAGCAAAATATTAATCACAAAAGAGAAAAAAAGAATGTACTAGAGGAGGGGTTTCGTTGGAATTCGTGAACGCGTTATTATTTGTTTATAGTTATAGTTATGTTATATGCATTGCAAGTTTAATTATTCAGGAATCATTTTTGTAATGGAATTTTATGTTGATGATATCCTTAAAATACGCAATCAATTAGTCTGTTTAATTATACCCCCCCCCCCCAGCAAGAATTTAGAAACTTGTTTAAGTGTGCGTTTTAGAAAATGATTTGTGATAATAAACTTGATGTTTAAGAAGCTGAAGTTTATCACTCAACAGTCAACATGAGTCAGAAATTGTAATTCTTGAAATAACGTAAAATAAGCCTCTTCCAGACCAAGGTTCATGATAAAGAACTATCGTGCGACATACCGAAAAAAACATGATAGTTTTGAAATCGACTAATTGATAAAGAGAATTTAAATAAACTAAACACAGGGCAAACATCTCTTGAATAATTCAACGTTAACTCAATTTTATTAGTAACTAGATATTAATAATATAAAAAACAGTGTTAAATTTACAGTTTCTGTTTCAATTGGTAAATTAACAAGGTTTATCCACCAAGGTTTGATATAGTTTATTAAGCAAAGTTTAACATAGGTTTATCAAGCAAGGTTTAATATAGGTTTATCAAGCAAGGTTTAATATAGGTTTATCAAGCAAGGGTTAACATAGGTTAATAGACCAAGGATTTATATAGGTTTATTTACCAAGGTTTAATATAGTTTTATCAACCAAGGTTTAATAAAGGTTTATCAACCAAGGTTTTATATAGGTTTATCAACCAAGGTTTAATATAGGTTATCAATCAAGGTTTAATATAGGTTTATCAACCATGGTTTAATATAGGTCTATCAACCAAGGTTTAATATAAATTATCAACCAAGGTTTAATAAAGGTTTATCAACCAAAGTTTAATAAAGGTTTATCAAGGAAGGTTTAATATAAGTTTATCAACCAAGGTTTAATAAAGGTTTATCAAACAAGGTTTAATATAAGTTTATCGACCAAGGTTTAATAAAGGTTTATCAACCAAAGTTTAATATAGGTTTATCATGCAAGGTTTAATATAGGTTTATCAACCAAGGTTTGATATAGATCTATTTACCAAGGTTTAATATAGGTTTATCAACCAAGGTTTAACAAAGGTTTTTCAACCAAGGTTTTATATAGGTTTATCAATCAAGTTTGAATATAGATTTATTTACCAAGGGTAAATATAGGACCAAGGTTTAATATAGGTTTATCCACTGTATAATATAGGTTTATCAACCAAGGTTTAATATAGGGTTATCAACCAAGGGTTAATATAGATTTATCAATCAAGGTTTAATATAGGTTTATTAACCAAGGTTTAATATAGGTTTATCAACTAAGGTTTAATTAGAAGTCTATCCAAGGTAATAAAGCAAGGAAAGTTAATTGCTGTTGCGTATTCTCTGCGTAAATATGGAAACCAGTGCTCTCTGGGCTGTGTTTGAAAAGATGAATAGAAGAATAGATGCATCAGTGTTCCTCTAGTATCCGATGAGGATGAAAACAGTTAATTTAGATAATTTTGATAATTCACATAAAAGTTTCCTATGACCAGAATATTCTATTGATATTTTATGTGAAAGATGGATCCCATGTCAGGCTGTGACATCCGTCTTGTGTTTACATTAACGCCCAGAGACAGTACACGGCAGTAATATAAATGCGTGCACCTCTGAAATAACTTTCTTTACATTATAATTCTTTGGGTTCAGCGACCTAAGTTTAATTTAAGAACGACAAAATTGCAAACCTCTTTAACCCTGGTTGGTTCATAAATGGATGTTGAACAAAAACTAAAAAATAATAAAGAAACTTCTTACCTAATGCAAAATTTGCACAGAATAAGCAAGTTTTTAAAACCTTGAACAAAATAATCCTATCAACTTATTTCAAGTCACAAAAAGTACTAAATTATATTTTTACTGCCTAATAGGTAAAGTTAGACTGAAGCACTACAAGTATATATTGGATACAGGTAGATAGAAGGTTGATTACTCATCAGCTGTTAACAAACACACACTCACTTACACACACACAAACATAATAATTCAGAGCAATTTCTTTTTATCATGCTTTCATGCACTATAGAACTAATGCTATATTTAAAAATAGAAATCTCATAAGAAAGAGACTGTTATTGTAGTTAAGATACATTATTTATCACAAAATGTGAATTGATATCGTAATTTTTCTAGACTGACAAGTTATTAACTGACTATTTCTATCATTTTTTCTGTTTTAAACTAATCAATTTTTTTTAAAGAGAAATCATTGATATCTCACATCTCAGTCAGACAACTTACTATTAAGAGTACTGTAGATCAGGCATGCCAGTCATATAATGGACACTTTCCAATTAAAAAATCGTTTTTTTTTCTTCTAATCTTCAGCCATTTGCTCGACCTAGGGATATATCCTTCAGAGCTAGAAATGGAAACTTTTAAGTTGCATATTATTTCCTGAAGCACTAGGTAATCCGTTTTGTCCTTCTCAAGAGTTCATCTAACTCTCATCCTTAACTTTTCTCTATAAGTTTCTACCCATTAAGGTCAATGGTCATTGTTTGGGGACTCGGTGAACAAGGGTTATAAACTGGAAGCTTAAAACTATGTTAACAGAATTAAATCAACAAATTCTTAAATTCAAAACTTCCACTGTGTATATAGAGTTAAAATTTTGGAACATAACACTTTCTAAACCTAAAGTTCCGACAACATCCATTCGTTCTTTTCGTTTACAAAAAAATATTAAATTTTTAAAACATCCATTTTTTTACTCTGCACAACAAAAACATCCATTTTTTCTGTACTTCTGAAAATGGGAAGAAAATTGTACTATCATAGATATAATTTTGTGAGCCATTACGATAAATATACAGAAACAGGAGGGACTCTCTAATTTAGAAAAATCGGTTTTTGATTTTTCTCTACTATATCCAAAAAAGAGTGGATTAAAAAAAGAAATTAAAAGTGTCCGCCCACGTTGGATATTCGGATTAAGCAGTCAGGATTAAAGGTATCCCATTCTAAACATCCCAGCTCAGTACACTCTCTCAATAGTCCTTTGTTTCTGCCTTTTCTAAGTTAAACTTATCCGAAATGGTATAACTTCAAATATAAAAATGGTATAACTTCAAATATAAAAATGGTATAACTTCAAATATAAAAATGGTATAACTTCAGAGTGTTCAGATCCATAATGCTTAAGTTGTGCAAGAAATCCAAATTGAGGACCAACTGGAGCTTTTTAATACAACATGTCTCCCCTAAACATGCTGGGTTATTTGCTTCCATTTATCTTGAAACCTTAGAGGAGCCTGGAGTGGATCATGAGGTGTCGGATGGGAAAGGTATAGAGGAAGAATGGACTGCTGGATTTATCCTCAATATGTTTAGTTATCACTCTTAGCGCTTCTGCATTAATAAACCTGTTGATTGAATGTGTAAAATTGTCAGAATCGGCTTCTCTCCTAAAGTCATATCTTCCAGCTCCATACTGTTTTGTGTAGTGGTTGAATCACCCACCTAGCAGCAGTGTTTAAATCCTCTATTCTTGGATGATAATTTTTCATACTGTTGCCCGAGTACCATTTTCCAACTTCTGATTCCAGGTGTTCAGCCATGGTGGGGTACTTTGGACTTAGTCCAACAGGATTTCCAGGTATAAAGGCAAGGTGAAGACCTGCATTAGCAGCGTAGAGAACATGTCATTAATGCTGCTCTGGTAGTGGTAGATGTAGGATGCACATAGTAGTTAAACAATCTTACCAAGTCTAATACTATTTCCAGGTATAAAGGCAAGGTGAAGACCTACATTAGCAGCGTAGAAAACATGTCATTAATGCTGCTCTGGTAGTTGTACATGTAGGATGCACACTTTAAAAGTCACTTAGTAAAATAAAGAGATCTAAAAATGGATATTTCTAACATTTATTTAAAAACGAAAGTTTTGAAATATTTGCATTTAAGGCGGAGTTAAAATTGGTTGATTTAGAAATTAACAAAGGAATTAATGATGAATATTTGTGGGTACTTCATGGGAGTGATGTAGAGCTTCATGTTGGTGGAGCAGATCAACAGGAGTGTCGCGCTGAGTATCTGCGTCATCATCATAAAGGAGTCATGGGGGTGATGTAGAGCTTCATGTTGGTGGAGCAGATCAACAGGAGCGTCGCACTGAGTATCTGCGTCATCATCATAAAGGAGTCATGGGGGTGATCTAGAGCTTCATGTTGGTGGAGCAGATCAACAGGAGCGTCGCGCTGAGTATCTGCGTCATCATCATAAAGGAGTTATGGGGGTGATGTGGAGCTTCATGTTGGTGGAGCAGATCAACAGGAGCGTCGCGCTGAGTATAGGAGTCAAGAGGCTCCCTGTGTCGGAGCTGTTACCAGCTCAACTCTCCAAACCTAACTGAGCTGGGATGTGTTTAGAGGGGTGAGGCGGGAAACGGATGAGCGGGGTTTGACATGTGGGTGCTACATGGAGGAAATGGATAAACACGCCAAATGCTGCTCTGGTAGTGGTACATGTAGGATGCACATAGTAGGTAAACAATCTTACCAAGTCTAATACTATTTCATCAATGTTGCCTGTGCCAAATGGGGATTCAGGGTTCCTGAACTTAACATCAACAGACACCATGTCATTTGTCAACACGAAGATTATATTTGGCTGTGTCCTGTTTGCAGAGAAAAATTGTAAATAGAAAATGAACAAACATTTTGAACATATTTGATTCATGGCTAGTTACACACTGAACATATTGAAGGAAGGTAAGTAAAATGTTGATCAACAAAACTGTGTATTCTATCACCTAAAGATAAACCTTGCACAATGGTGCTCATGTTAACACATAGTTTCAGAATTATTTATTTAGGGGCATGATGATGAGTTCTAAATTAAATCAGGCAGTTTTTTTGAAAATAATGGAAGTGACTTTCTCCACTAAATTTCAGGAAGTGAAAGCTGTCGCAATAATTTTAGATTGACCTAATTGCAGATTCGAATTAAAAGATGACTTTTCCTCTTAAAATGCCCCCAATTAAAAAACATTTTCAAATTCCACTAACACATTTGCCCCCAATTGCCCCAAATTGGGAAAAATTGCCCCCAATTGTAACAAATGCCCCTAATTAAAAAAACATTTTATATTCCACTAACACATTTGCCCCCAATTTAAAAAACATTTTTAAATTCCACTGACACATTTGCCCCCAAGGGAAAAAATGCCCCCAATTATAAAATGCCCCCAGTTAAAAAAAACATTTTCAAATTCCACAAACAGATTTGCCCCCATTTGCCCCCAATTATAAAAAAATGCTCCCAATTACAAAAAATGCCCCCAACTAAAAAAACATTTTTCAAATTCCACTAACACATTTGCCCTCAATTTAAAAAAAAATGCCCCCATTTTTTTTAAAATTATCATTTAAAAAAAAACTTGCCCCAATTTAAAAAATTTGCCCCCATTTCTTTCAAATTTGTCAATCCCAAATAGGATTGAAAAAGGAATTATATTGACCCCTGGTATTTTGTTATCATTAAGGATCAGTAATCTTAAGTTGAGCCAGTTTATAACCATGATGAGCCAGGAGGTGCCGACCATCGCACTAACGATCTTAATGTATTTTTCGAGCAAACTCTGTCCTTTTTACAGGATTGAATCCTGGTTACTTTTACTTTAGGTAATAGTTTCTTTAAAAATTTACATTTTTGTACACTAAAACCTAGAAATTTTTCGTAAAAAATCATTAATATAATTATCAAAATTATCAAAATTTAATGCTTTTAACCTCCTCGGATATTTAACAAACACTGATGCATCTATTATTGTTTACAAATTCCCCCCAAAGAGAACTGGTTTCAATATGTACACAGAGTATACACAACCGCAATTGACTTTCCTTGCCTTACATTCTTGATTATAGTTATCTAATGATTGTCATGAATTGCAACTTATATCGACTCATAAAGTGGTATATTAGATTTATGTTTTAATTTCTTCTGCAGAAAGAAAGTTATTTGGAAATTCATTTCTGAATTCGAACTGAAGTTTGTTTTGTTTTAATTTTTGATTTTAACAATAGCTTTTATGGAAATGTTATTTAGTTTCAGATTATTTGTCAATGACAAATTTTGATTATCTTAATCTGATAAAAATCTCAAAAAAGGTATTGCTTAAAAGAAAGATAGTATAACAAATGAAACCAAATTTAAAAAATTGTTTTCTAAAAAATGTTTGAAGTTTTATAGAATACTTTATCAATCACAATTCTCAATAATTCTCATAATTTAAAATAATTGATAAAACACTTCTGATTTTGGGAGACGAGGATTTACCCTCAGTTTTGAATTTCTTAATACCATCAATATTGAGTTTCTCCTAATATTTTAACAATTTTTCCACAGCCCCCTAACAGAGCGGAAACATTTTGGCCCACAACCCTTTTGATCAAATCCTGTATACTCTCTTTCGATCCTGTACTTCAAGTCGAACTACAAAGGTCAGAATAAATTGAATATTTTAAAGTGCCAAGAAAGCACAAAACTGGAAAGGATGATAAGGTTTAGGTTTGTTTGTATTAGAGCAGCTCCTTAGTACTACACTTATTGTTTCTTAAAATCTCCAATCCCTGTAATCTCTCCCCCCCCCCTTGGGGTTGGTTATATCCCTCCAGTACAGTACATGATTAATATATTACTGCAGTACAGTACATGATTAATATATTACTACAGTACACTACATGATTAATATATTACAGCTGACCAGGCTATTTGTAGTATGTAGTATGTAGTATTTCAATATCAGCTCTTGAGTTTCTCTATTTGTTCCAGTTGTCTTTGATATTGAGAGATGGGGAATGATTTTTCAAGAAAATATACACCTCTGAGTAACCTTCCAAACATTCTACAGAGAAGACATCAGTAGAGCTGGGGAATGATTTTTCAAGAAAATATACACCTCTGAGTAACCTTCCAAACATTCTACAGAGAAGACATCAGTAGAGATGGGGAATGATTTTTCAAGAAAATATACACCTCTGAGTAACCTTCCAAACATTCTACAGAGAAGACATCAGTAGAGCAGCATTTTCTGATAGGAATCAAACTATTCATTATCAGTCTTAAATATTAATTGATAACCATAAAAAAGTAACGTCCGTGTTATTTATTTACATAACCTAAAGATTTCTTTAGAATGGAATACATTATAACATTAGAGAAGNGGCAAAATCAAGCTCTCTTTAAGAATACAAGATTAAGGACTTTTTGCTGAAATAAATTATTTAGAATCGATATTGACGCTCTGGCATTTGATAAACAAAATAATGTCAGGTCACTTATGATATAATTTCATGTACATAAGAACCAACTGTACTTTTAAACCGGTACATGTTCACTAGAGAACAGTGGCATGACCTTTTTAACGATTATATACAAGACCTTCATAATTCTTTCCTGATTTTCCGTATTTCTATGATCTTGAGAAGGCACAATAACGGTTGGTTAACGGTTTGCCCATTTGTTAAAGAAAGTGATCAAGATTCAGCAAAATAAAAATGGCCATATAAATGCACGAAAAGAGTATTCTAGGGGATTAAAAAAAGAACTAAAATACAGTGGAGGGGTTTTCAATAACAAACAGTTTGGTTAATTCAAATAATCTAATTTTCAATGATGCACCGTTGGAAGGGGTATTGTCATTTGTCAACATTGCTATGAACAGGTTTAATCTAACGGTAAAACAATATAGTGTACAGTGGATATTTGTACATGAGTCAGTGTACACTGTTGATGTTTAGAAGCGTGCACGGATATATACTGCGCTCACATCGTGCTCGCCGTACCCTAGTCTCTTCGCGTGCTTGAACACCTAAATAGATTGATTCATTAAATTTATATCAGGGTTATTTTTCGAGATTTAAAAAGTACAAGTAGTCAAACCCTTTAGTAAGATAATTATAAACGATTTCCGAGAATATATATATCCTTAAATCAAGCCAACTTTTTTGCCGGTTCCATCATATTCAAAATTGATCAAAAACTGCTTGCAGCGCTAACTATGCTTTCAAAAATACATCGTTTTAGGTAATATTATGCAACACAATATAAATCTTTGTGTAATATGTGTAATATGTGTAATATGTGTAATATGTGTAATATGTGTAATATGTGTAATATGTCTAATATGTGTAAGAAATTTTAGATTTTTACCTTTAGTATTTATATAATCGATCAAAGTAATGGACTTTCTTATAGGACAAACTTCAAGGCCTTCAAAGTTTGCTACTTTTTTCGAATTTAAAACTTTACTAATAAGAGAAAAAGGAAATGTTATTAATTGGTTGATTTGTCCTTGAAATTTGTTTGATAAGTTCAAATGTGTTTTTATTGTATTTGTTGGTCAATATTTTGCCACTTAAATCCGTTTACAAGGATTCGCATATTTTATCCCGGGGGGGGGGGGGGGGATTATTATTGATAAATTGGGGGATGTTTCCATCATTTTAGATACTTTTCCACCAAAAATTCATTTATTTCCCCCTGAAAACTTGTATATTATCCAATTAAGCGGGATTATACCTACCTTCTGGGAGGAAAAAATTCGAAGGGAAATAATTTTTTAAGAAAATAAACACCCCTGTACAGATCTTTAACAGCATATATATAATAGATTATTTTACCTCATTAGCTGAAGCTGTGAGGGGTAGAGGTTGCTCCAGCTGATCTCCCATATTCAAGCTCAGCTTCAGATCTTTCTACAATATTAACGCCATTTTATCAAGGGATTGTTCAAAGATTTTTAGTAAATAACGATCATTGAAACAAAACTCTTTCTACACTGAGAACCAAAAAAAGTGTGGACTAGGAAGTTGACATTAAAACAATGGTAAAGTGTATTGATGTTGCTACAATGAAAAGAGTTTTACTAGTGACTTAGTATATCACTTATCAAGTCAATGGGGGTCCGTTTACACAGCACAATTGCTGTGTCTCATGTTCATAGCTTGCGTCTAAAGCTAAGATTGCTCATTGTCAAGTACTTTTTATTAAGGACTATGGTACAGCGTTGAGAGGAAACCACGCCACCACAGATGTTGCCCTGATGAATCCTGCTGGCTATGTATTGTGTTAATATTTAATGCCAATATTGTATCCCATATCCTGATAATGTTTTACCATTTTAGATTTATACAATGGGACTTTACTTCAACTATTAAGTGATTAGCCAACAGAACCACCAGGAAAACATCCGTTAATACTTTGTAAGATAATGTTAACATCTATTTATTTGAGATATGTTCAATATCCAATATCATCCCTATGAGAAATTAATAAAGGATATTGAATAGATTTTCAACCCGTAATTTTAAGACCTGCCTCAACAGGAATGTGATCTCAAGTATTATCTCTTCCAGGTTACTTAAATGGGATCCCGAGTAGGAGCCGGAAGTTCTAAGGGCAATGGCTAATATGCCGAAGTCAGGCGACCATGCCAGGTCTGTAGACTACAAACTTTGTTAGGAAAAACTTTATTCCTAAAGGCAAGCTGGGCTCCCATGCTATTTATACATATTGCATTGCAATACAACTGCCTGAAACCAAGCCGGGACAATAAAGCGTGTTCAAAAGTAATTAAGTCGGGAAATGAAAGGTAAATAATGTGATCACTAGGGATATAAATATTATTTAATTAACCTGCATATGCTGAAGGGGTTGGTGAGTAGGAAATCCTCCGTCAATAATGGCTTTTCCCTTCTGTAGGATTGCTGGGCAGTTCAACCCGGTCAACTCAAGAACCTAACATTATATTTATGAACCAAGTGATTAATTAATCGTTTTCATTAATTTTAAAAATATATTCTGTTAAAGTTTGCTTTATTAAAACTTTTCAATTTTTTAATGTTTTTATTTTCATTGAAAGAAAAAAATGAAAAAAGATCCAAAAAAAGATCTTTACAACACGTTTGTTTTCGGATCGTTTTCGGATCATTTTCCGATCGTTTTCGGATCATTTTCGGATCGTTTTCGGATCATTTTCGGATCGTTTTCGGATCGTTTTCGGATCATTTTCGGATCGTTTTCGGATCGTTCTTTACATATATTTTCTGTCAGGGTCAAAATCTGGGATGGTGTTAGAAAATCGAATGTTCAGAATAAACAATGTTAAAACAAAAAATCCCCCTATTTGGTTCAGCCGTTTGGTCAGCTTTATAGCTAACATATATATTTTTTAACTTAATTTTTTAAAAATTTGTTTAATGAAGCAAATTTATTGATACATGTATTCATTCAATTAGCTGCATACCCCCAGGATGGTTAATATGCAGTTTCGATAGCTGACCAGGCTATTTGTAGTATGTAGTATGTAGTATTTCAATATCAGCTCTTGAGTTTCTCTATTTGTTCCAGTTGTCTTTGATATTGATATATATAGATATGCAGGTTTATTGCTGACGAGCTTTATTAAATAAATTGCTTTGTTTCATGTTCATTGGACCATTAAAGATCATAACTTGGGACTAGCAGTCGTCTTTCTATTACACAATTTTATCGGTCCCATTGAAACAATACCACGTGATCAAACAACAACTTTAATAAAAGAAAACGGCATGTTCCCTAAACTGTTAACGGATAAAAATGTTTAGGATTTTAATCAATTTTTTATTTTTGACTTATTTGTTCTTAGTTTATCGTAAAAATGTGTTCTTCCCAGAAGAGCCGGAAATAATCAATTTCCTTCCCTTATAAAGGCTAAAAGCATTGTTGAAAACATATTAATTTAGCAAGTTTTTAAATGTCATAATACCAGAAAAAAGATTTAAAAACTAAATTACACTTGGATTTCCAGAATATTAAAAAAAAATTTTAACTTCTAGCCCTAGCACAAATATCATTATGAAGTTATGTAGTGATAAGCCGTTATCATTAAAAATTTAAAGGAGTGTATACTTTTAAGACTAATGATTATTAAAGATCTCGGGGAGGGGGGGGGGGGAATGAAAAATTGAAAAAATTGACACTTTTTACCCAAAAATCTATTTATATTTCACTAAAAGTCATCTATTTTCTCCGATATAGCGAAGGGGTGGGGGAAGACAATTATAAAAATATACACCCCTCAAAAAATCAAAATCCTTCTACCTCCATGACATCTTTCTGCTGTAGTCCAGCGCGATCAGCAAGCGCCATTCCCTCAGCTAGTCCGGCTAGTGTCACGCCAATCATAGTCTACAAAAAATTAAATATAATGTTAAAACCTTCAAAACTAATCGACATTAACCGAAAAAAAAAACAATAAACAAGATCGAATTGTATAACATAGATTAGGAGAGAAATAAATCGAAGCAATTTATTTAGAACAGACTAGACATAATGAGAAGCGAAAAGCCAGAAAAAAATATGAATGAATAAATAAATGAATGAACTAAGTATTAAAAAGACTGTAAGCGTTTTTTTTCAAGTGACCCTCCATGCAAAGATGGCTATGCACGATTTACAACGGTACCCCCGCAACCTTTATCTGATCAATAATATGGAAGATATTGTTGTACTTCTAAATATAAAATTATGAAATTAATAATTGAGAATATTGATAATAAATGTAAAGAAATAAATTACAAAATGAAAAGATGAATAAAAAAGGAGTTTTAATATATTATTTTAATTCATACTTAATTCAATGAATTAGAATAAAGTATGAAAATAAATGACACCTGAAGAACTAGATTCATTTTACTGGCGTTCCCGACCTCACCCAAATAGAAACTATTCTTCCCAATCGCCTGCACAATAAATATTAATATTATCATTATTGTTATTCTAAAGAATATCATTATCTTTTTTACTATAATTATCATTCTAGGACAACAAGACATTAGCTGAACCAAGTATAATACATTATTATTGTTAAATTCGTTATTTAGACTCACAATCAATTTTTAGTCAATTAACATATTGATTTGTCCTCACCAAAAATCAGGTTAGAAATAGAAATAAGTATCGAATTGGCAAATTTTAGTTTTCCTTATATTTTCCAAATTATCATTTATTTTCAACAGAAGACGAAAGTATTTTCCCCCTGTTGGGGATGAGGAAAATAGCAGTTTTGTTAGAACAGTAAGATGGGGAATTACAGGTGCGCACCGGGAGCCTGCATGGAATGTCAACAAGGGTTAATGCTACCCACTCTAGACAAATTCCTGTACACGCCCTTGAGGGGCCTGATATAATACCTGGAAGCAGGACTGACAGTCATCAAAGAGACTTCTATCTCCAGCAACTAGAACTACAAGAGTACCATCCTGGGCCTGGCATTTGCTACCTTGGATCTAGATATATCAATCCATCAATCAATTTTTTCGTACGGTGTTTCGTGTACCATGTTTCGTGTACGGTATTTCACTTACAGTGTTTCGTATACAGTTTTTCGTGTATGATGTTTCGTTTACGGTTTTTCGTTTACGGTGTTTCGTTTCCAGTGTTTAGTGTACAGTGTATCATAAACGGTGTTTCGTGTACGGTGTTACGTATATGGTGTTTCATGTACGGTGTTTCATGTACAGTGTTACATGTATGGTGTTTGTGTATCATGTTTCGTGTGTAGTGTTCCTTGTACCATGATTCGTGTATGGTTTTTTCGTACAAAATGTTTCGTGTATGGTGTTTTTGTACGGTGGTTCGTGTACGGTGTTTCGTGTACGGCATTTCGTGTATCGTGTAACTTGTACCTTGTACCTTGTACCTTGTACCAGGTACCTTATACCAGGTACCGTTTACCGTGTACCGTAAACAAAGTACTAAACCTGAGCCTCCAAGTATCTGCCTCCCTTGAGAGATATAGCTTCAGCAATATCCTGGCTTGTATCGGAATCAACGCTAGTCATCTCTACATAACCCTGCAGTACAGTTTATTAAATTTAAGAAATGATCGTGGTAGACTCTCGAAGTAAAATCTCAGACCGCTATCGGATGTTAAGGGCCTGTGCCCGAAACCCGTTCAATCCGGCACTCTAATAAAGTTCCGCCCATATCAGTGAAATTCTATTAAAGTACGGTACAACGGGACATGATTAACATATTCCTGCAGTAGATTAATATATCCCTGCAGTACATGATAAATATATTACTGCATGACAGTACATGATAAATATATCCCTAGTACAGAACAGTACACGATTAATATATCCCTCCAGTACAGTACATGATTAATATATTACTGCAGTACAGTACATGATTAATATATTACTACAGTACACTACATGATTAATATATTACTGCAGTACAGTACACGATTAATATATTACTGCAGTACAGTACATGATTAATATATCCCTGCAGTACAGTACATGATTAATATATGATTATTATAACCCAGCAGTTCATAACATATTTATTATTCAGAAATATGGTTGCAGTACAATTATTGTTTGTTTTTTTACCTTTGTAGTGTTTATCTCTTGCAGTACACCACAGTTACCAAATACGAGATCTTTCGCTGCTTGTGGATCACTCACACAACTGTAAAAATGTGAATTATAAAATAAATTAAATAAAAAAACACAAATTGTAAAAATCAATTGAATGAAAACTTGCTAAAGGTTAGTAAAACAGCTTTAAAATCAAAGCAAAGAATGGTAGTATAAACATATTATAAAACAATTATGTCTGAAAGTATTATTTTTGTTCTTCAAGTTATTAATATATTCTGCCAGTTAAAAAATTTAATTTGCCATAATCGAATTTTAAACAATTAAATAAACGCATCCGATTCCTGATCTGGAACAATATGCGAAAACATAAGTGCCAACTTTAGAGATCTTTCCCGATCTGTAAATGGTAAATAAAGTTTCAGCGTCAACTTTTACAAAAAAAAAGAAGGCGGATTATTTCATGTGCTGAATTGGGATAATTTTTCATAAGATGGATCCAGAATCCGGATCCGGATCCCAAAGTCCTTATTGGAAGTGCGTATAGGATACGAATCCGCTGGATCCGCAACATCTTAGCTCTCTGCATCCAAGTTCCAAAGTATCAACATTGCCAAAAAACTGCTTGTTCTCAAAACTTATTTTTTAATGCGAAATCAAGTTTCAGAAGGATATAGTTTTGAAATTTGATTTTTGGTTCAGGAATTTCAGAAACGATCTTGAGTCGATCGGTTCATTCTTTTTAATACACAGGATCAGCACTTTAAGATAAACCTAAACCAACTATCAGTGAACCTTCTTAATTTTTTTTAAAGCCAAATCAAGTTTCTACATAAAATTTTGCAAAAACAGGAGACCAACGTTTAGACATATGTTTTTTTTAAAAGAAATTTTTAATAGAAGGATCTAGAATCCTCAGCACTGTAAGATAAATCTTTAACAACTATCATTGAACATTCCAATTTTTTTTATGCAAGCAAAATCAAGTTTCTACATAAAATTTAGCAAAAAAAGGAGAAAAAAGTTGACATTTGTTTTTTAAAAAAGGATCCTTAGCACTAGATAAAATTCTAACAACTAGGAGACCTGAAAGTGATATCACACTCAGCAATGACGTCACTAGGAGTAAGCGCCTCCTTAGCTCCAGCTTCAACAAAATCTTTAACCTAAATTATCAATTTATGAAATAATTATTACTTTTTCTTTCTTTCTATTGTTGGGGTCATATTTATTTTATTTTTAACCCCCATCGCACTTCAGTGGGGGAAACTCAATTTACTTATACCTTATCCGTGGTTCTGTTCCAAACTGTAACTTGATGGCCAGAATTCAATAAGTTCTTCACCATACCAGATCCCATTATACCTAAATAATATAAAATTATAACGCCGCTTCGCGCGATGTTTTACTTAGGGGTATATACTTAAAATCTTTTTCTTAGGGGTATATACTAAATATCTTTTTCTTAGGGGTATATACTATATATCTTTTTCTTAGGGGTGTATACTATATATCTTTTTCTTAGGGGTATATACTTCATATCTTTTTCTTAGGAGTATACACTATATATCTTTTTCTTAGGGGTATATACTATATATCTTTTCAAACAAACATTTCATTGGTTTCCCTACAACCAGTGCTTAGGATTCATTTAATTTTGATGCGGATCCGGATCCAGCTTATTTTGATGCGGATCCGGATCCAGCTTATTTCTTTGAGATTTACTCAAGTTCTTAAACAAAAAATAATTTTTAAATTTTTTGTTTTATTTTTTTTAACGCCTATTTTTATCCTAAAACTTGATGAACCATTCAGAAATGAGAAAATTCTTATAATCTCTTTTTTTCCCAAAAGTTCAGATTTTTTTTGCAGCTATTGGTTGATATTTTACCCATTGGATGTGGATCCGTGGATCCGCATATTTTTACGGATCCGGATGCAGGAAGCCAAAATCTTCCGGATCCGGATGCGGATCCTAAGCACTGCCTACAACAATGTGTTAAAGGGTTAGATCGCTGATGTAAAAAAACTTAAACAAATCCTTAATTAATGATTATAAAAGGACAACCATGCATTCAATGATATTGGGTGTGCTTCCTTCCCCCCCGAGATCTGCGTGGCCCGGGGGGATTCTGTCCTAGACGAAACCTTTAAAAACAGTTTTCCATTTTAGAAATCATTCTAAATGATTTAAGCAAAATATAAAGCAATCTTTTCAGAATTGTATTTTTCTAGTTTAGACAGTTCAGAAATATTTGTAAAAATGTTTTTTGACAATTATTTACAAAAGAGGCAAAACATTTTAGGAAAATCATAAGTTTTACGCAAAAAATCTAATTCTGCATAAAAACACCTTGTAGGATGAAATGTTTTCCAGGGAAGGGAGGTAAGGTAGAAGAAAATTTATTTTCAGTGCTTAGGATCCATTTCATTTTAACGTGGATCCGGATCCTGGAAATAAACGGACCCGGTTTAGGCCCTGAACTTTTCTTCCAGATTTACTGATTTTTTTAAAAAGAACATTTTTCAAACATTTTTATTCCGTTTTCGCAGATTTTTTTTGGCTGAAACTTAATATTATTATTTCACAAATGAATTAAAATAAAATCAGGCTGGTTTGAGAGCAACATTTTGGTTTTGGTTGACATTTTGCCTCTTGGATCCAGAAAGCCAAAATGTTGCAGATCCCGAAAAGTAAGTCCTGGTTATATTCCTTACCTAATCCTAGGAACCCGAAGTTTAGTTTGCTGGGTTGAATATCCTTCTCCCGTAGGGTTTGAGAACTAGTCACTAGATCAATCCCTGAACACAAAAATTTAGAAAATATAATTAGAAAATATTTTTTTATTGGTTTTGGTTTTGTATTTGCTTGTATTGGTTTCATATATTAATATCAAACCAACCAAAAATCATCAATCAACCAACCAATCAATCACTAAATTAATCAACCAATCAATCAATCCATCGAACCAATAAACTAATACATCAATCAACCAACCATCCAACCAACCAACCAACAAACCAACTCAATAATTCAATGAACTATTCAACTTATAAATAATTCTAAAAACCAATATACCAAACCATCTGGGAACCATTCAATCAATCAATCTATATATATATACCAACCACTCATTTTTAAATCAATCCACCAATCAATCCTTAAAATGACCAAAACGTACAAATTTATCAATCAATCAACAAATCATCAAACCAATTAAACTAACAATTGTTTAATCGTTCTACCAACTAACCCACCCACCAAACTTTCAATTTATTAAAGGGACTGTAAGCGTAATTTTAAGTGACTCTTCATGTTCGATTCACAATGGTACTCTTAAAAGCTTTGTCTGATCAAATATGAATTAGATATCAATGATTATTATATTGAAAACTGATTATTTATAATTGTGGTTTATCTGCAAACCTGACTTGCGCATTTCTACTGCAGGAAAACAAAGGACTTAACCATTTTAACCTAGAAATACGACAACAGCTTCCATATCATTAGGTCGCTTAAAATTACGCTTACAGTCCCTTTATTCCATGAAATTGACCCCGAAATCCTTTAATGAATGAACCCACCAAGAGCAGGGCTTGCTGGACGTAGAACACTTGGCCGGTCAAGCAGACCTGATACTGCCGCCTTCTTACTGGAACTATAAGGAACCTGGAATATCAAATCAAATCAAATCAAATCAAATCAAATCAAATCAAATCAAATCAAATCAAATCAAATCAAATCAAATCAAATCAAATCATATCAAATCAAATAAAATTTTGTAGGGATGGCAAAGTCTCCAGTAGTGGATCGGAGTTTCAAGTTTTCTTTAGTTTCTGGTTTTTCTTTGAACCAATCAATTGTGTAAAGTATAAATGATGCGTATTTCCCGCGTGTGTTTCATAATGTTTTCAGTATGTTTTTTTAGATAGTGACTAGTTCAATTAAATTACATTTTTTTTCTTTGCGATAAAAATACGCAAATATTTAAATGAAATAAGAGAAAGATGCTACTTAACATAATTTATTTACATGTTCAGCTTAGAAAAAATAGCATCCCGTCATTGAAGTAGAATGTTGACTCAAAGTAAATTTTGAAATTATGAATTTTTAAATTATGGTAAATTATTAGCTTGAAGTAAATTATTTACTTGTACTTAATCATTGAATTGTGTAAAAATATTTAAATTATTAGATTGTGCTAAATAATGTACATTTATGTACATAATGTACAGTAAATAATATACTTTTGGTAATTAAATTCTGGTAAAATATAATAAATTACGGTAAATTATTAAGTTGTGGTAAATTTGTGATAAAATATAAGGAATTATGTTGTGATAAATTATGGAATTGTAGAAAAATGAATCATTAGCTTGTAGTAAATCATGTACTTACGGTAAATAATCAAATCATGGTAAAATATAAAAATCATTAGCTTTTAGTATATCAAGCACTTTTGGTAAATTAACAATTTGTGGTAAAATATAATAAATTATATTATTGTGGTAAATTGTGAAATTGTGGTAATATATAATGAATTATTAACTTGTGAAAAAAAATATAAAAACTAGCTTGGGAACCCAGCGTTGCACAGGGTCATAGTTAGTCCCACCGATTACCCGCACTTGGACTAAAAAGACGACCCACTCAACTTAAACAAAGCTAAGAACATTACCGTGGCTCTCTTGAGTTCCCCAATAAAAATTTGAAGCAAATCGGTCCAGACTCAAGGGGTTTCTGGGTTATGATCGGACAAACAAACAGAAATTGCAATTTTATATATATATAAATACCTAGCTGAAGGGCCCGTCGTTGCCCGTGGATTTTTTT